TTTTTTTTTGACAAGTTCATATTTATTTTAGTAAAAAAGGTGTTGTCCATCTATTCAATGATTGTATGGTAATTATACTCATTTTTAATTCTTCATCCGTTCTTTTTTTTTATTGCACCATGAGTGATTTTACGCTTGCCAATACATTATTTTGGCTATTAATATCTTTAATTATACTTTTGTTAAAATTATAAAAATTAATATTTGAAAAGTTGCTTTTGAGATGAGTCTAACTTGATCCCACATGACTATATATTTCCTTACGGATAAATTACAAAAAATGGAAAAGAAGATTATGTGAATAGTGTAAAAGTCGTAATGGTGCAATAGAAGAAAAACAGAGGAAGTATACTGAATGTTTATTTTTGTACATGCTTATTTTTTTATCACTAAATGTTCAATTTTTCAACGGATTCATTTTTTTTTTACTAAATTGTTCGTTTTACGTGTTCATTTTTTTTATTTCTAAATGTTCATTTTTTTTTTCTGACAAATTCATATTTGTTTTTTTATTAAATGCTCATTTTGTAGGACATGATTTATCTGTTCTATGATTGTATTATCATGTTCATTTTTTATTACTAAATGGTCATTTTTTTACATGTACATTTTTTTAACGTATTCATATATATATATATATATATATATTCAGCGAATGTACATTTTTATAGGGCATGGTCTAGCTATTATATGATTGTGTGATAATCATGTTCATTTTTAATATACTAAAATTTCAATTTTTATTATAAATGTTCCTTTTTTTTATGTAATATATTAAAAGGTTCCACCAAAAAACATAATATGTTAAAAAGCGTTCTTAATACATAATTGACAACTAAAAAATGCTTTTGCAAAGACTTGAACTCATGACAACAAACAAGTAATAAGTCACAAGTCTTACCACTTTATTAGCTATCTAATTATGTGCTATTTTATCCAACAAAATTATAGTTAGCTTGGATAAAATGATTAGTGTTTATTGTACTATATGTTCCCATTAAGTAACTATCATAAGACGATTTAACAACTTAATTTTAAAGTTTGAAAAACTTCGTATTGTTTTTCGATTTGATGAAAAATAATAACTTTATTTTTTTTGTTAAATACTTAAATACTCCCTCCGTCCCTAATTTTTTGCCTCATTTGACTTTTTGCGGTTTTCAACAAGCTTCTTAAAACGGTTATAACTCCATTTTCACACGTGTAAAGATTATAAAAACTAAATATCAATAAAATGTATAATGAGACGTATCCAACAAGATCTCACATGGTTATATTATCACTTATAGATTAAGAGTATTTTATGGTCAAAGTTTATAAAATTTGACCCAAATTTTTGCAATGGGGCAAAAATTTAGGGATAGAGAGAGTAGTCAATAGTTTTTGAATCATAATAGACAATATTGAATATGGTTCTCCTAATACATACTTCCTCCGTTCCAAAATCAAATGACACGTTTCTTTTATCATGCTTGCCAATGCATAAATTCAATCGTAAATATCTATAATTAGCAATAAGTAAAAATTATAAAAAAAATTGATATTTTGAAAATACACACATTAAAGGGATTCCAACAAAATTCCACATGATTATATAATTTCTTATCTATTAATCACAAAAAGTAGTCAAATAGTGTTTGTTAATAGTGTTAAAAGTCAAACGTGTCATCTAATTCGAAACGGAGGAAGTATTTTTTTCAAATTTGAAAATTTCAAGATAATTATCAAAACAGTAAGATAAAACAATCAAACATGATTATCAAATCAAACAAATACAAATTAGAAAACCCCAATGTCTTAAAAAAAAAAAAAAAAAAAAAAAAAAAACCAATGCATCACCCAGGGCACACTAGTTTTTATACTAAGTGTTAATTTTGTAAAGTGTGGTCCAGCTATTTTAGCTAGACCAGGGTCCATAATAGACTAATCGCAATAGCTTATCTCCTTAGATAATGTTTTAAAGTTTTGTTACATTTCAAAAAAAAAAAAGGGAAATATTAGCTTCCATTCATCATACATTCATACCTAAGAGATTGCAAGGGAAGTAATACAAGTATAATAAATGGAATATATATTACTTGACAGACTTCTCTTGACATTGAGCTTCAATAGGTACGAATCAAAGTAAGCTTGAACTGTCCCAGTATTTGTTTGTATCAAAAGGAGGTACCAACTATCCCGCCCACACAAAGTGGAAGATATTTTTACTAGCAACAGCACTGACTGCACCCTCACTTTTCTTCACCAGCAACGTTTCCTGAGCAAGAGTATCCTCATCCTTCCGAAACATAAAAAGGCGAAAGTAACTCATTAACAAGCGTATGGCATTAATCATTAATTTAAGTAATTCAGGCGTATCACTATATCATAAATCAGTGTTAAGTGATGGTGACGATAAACTACTCATAACATGTATGCAATTGATTATGTTGATCGATTTGACTAGAATATATCATGAACAACATAATCGAATATATATCACAACCAACCGAAACCAACAACAAAGGAAAAGTACTCACTAAAGCAGCATACGCATGAGCGAGAGAACAGAGAGTTGGATAACATTCCAAGACAGCCATGGCAACATCCTCAGTCACCTGAACAACCTGCAAAACCATACAATTAATTTCAGGTAGGGAAAGGCAGCTCAGTTGATAATATTGATAGTCTAAGTTGCAGAGGAAATCATAACTTCTGAATTAGAAATAAAAAAAGATCTTGAGTTACAGCCAAGCCCAGCTGCATTAGCTGTATGTCAAAAGCTTCACCAACTGTCAACTTATCAGCATCTTCACAATTTTTGATAAACCGATTATATTTAGGACAGACACCCGCGGTTTTGCATTTTTCATCTGATGAAATCAGTTTATAGTGATCAGGAACTGCCAGAGTTAAAAGGCCATATCGGTGAATAGTGTCAACCAGGCTTGTTGTTCTTTGCACGTCAAATTCCTCCAAAATCTCTGTAGTAAAGCAACTGAAAAAGACCACAAATAGGAAACTATTGTAAGCAATTGCATAGATATTTCACAGTTTAACATGGGAAGTATTACCTCCAGAATATTACAGTCAAGTAAAATAAGAAAAAAAAATGATAGACTATTTCAGCACATCAACAACCAGTGAGTAAAACAGTTCATAAAGCATATAGGAGAATAAATTCTTACGCTGTTTTAATGCTGTCAGCTCCTTCACAAGCATTAGGATCACCTTCCACCAAATACATAATCTTCTTAATTCCAGTTCTCTAAAAAACAAAGTTCCAGAAGCATGAGAACAAGATCAATAAACCCATAAACTGAAGAAAATATTTCCATAATTATATTCTAAATGAACTGTTATCACCAGAGCACTTAACCCACCTCAACGAGGAGTTTGATATGAAAGACATCAAGCGATCAGTGTTCAGTATGAAACAATGCAAAGCTCCAGGGCCAGATCGCTGCCCTCCATTGTGTCCAGAAGCACTGGGAAGTGATGAAAGGTGACATCTTCAATGCATTACAGGGATTTTTCAACGGTGGCTATTTACTCAAAAGAGCTTAACAAAACTTTCATTTGCCTGGTGCCTAAAGTGGAGAATGCGAGCATAGTTGAGCAATATTGTCCTATGCAATAAGATGTACAAGATAATATCGAAGTGTATGGTATAGCTTAGACTGACAAAGACTCATGGTGGGTAATTGCCTCCTAGGATACGAACTGATGCAATGGATAAAACAGCGGAAGAAAGGCAGAAATTTTGCAGCAGTCCTGAAAATTGACCTGAATGAAGCATAGATAGAGTGAGCTTGACATTTCTGGAGCAAATTCTGAGAAGTATGCAATTCCCGGAAAGGTGTATTGGATAGATAATGCAGTGTATGTGTGACAACAGTCTCATACTCAATTCTGGTGAATGGTGAACCCAACCTAATTTATTACAAAAAGTAACATATAGCCTAACTATATGACAGAATAATCCATGTTAAGGACCTCAAATTATTACTTTGCCCCCTTCTGCTCAACATATACTAAACTCAGCTGCTGATTGTATCCAGTCACACGCTTGAAGAAAATAATGTAAATAGCAACATTCCAAAAATTCCAAAACAAAACCAAATGCAGCATGGGAGTGGCCATTTCCACCACATTCTCCAGAATCATCTAGCTAATAAGAAAATTTATAAGACCACACTCGAGCATACTAACACAAGTTCTGACTACCATCTAATCACCTATATCATAAATCATTTCTTTCAGAAGGTTTTATAGTAATTGCACATTTCTATTTCGGCTATTTCACCAAATGCCATCAGGGTTTTCAAAATTCACCAAATGCCACCGAGTTTTAAAAAAATTCAACGAGTGTCAAGTGGCATTTGGTGAAATAGTCGTTTCTATTTTGAGTATGTACTTTTTGTTTGTGTTTACACACCAAATACTCATTCATCTCACCCCTTACTTATATGTGATAATTAACCTTGCTACCTCATTTTTACTCTCTTGCTTTTGTTTGTAGTCAATATATAATCATATGGATATTTTTGTTATTAACTCTTTTTCTTAATCTTTATTCCCAACCCAAAATAGTATTATTAAAAAAACGGAGAAAGTATTATGGAGTAAACCCTTTGTTGGTACATACTTGTACTAGTAGTATATTATGCAAGTATATTTTTAGATTTCTTCAAATAAATTAGATTAATTTTCATAACTTTGAATACGAACTATACGAGTGTTTTCTTTGTAAAATAAATAAACAAATAAATAAATAAACAAAATGTTAGAATGGTCAGAAAAAATGAAAAAGAAGGCCATTTAAGAAAAGTATGGAGTGTTTTGTCAAAAAAAAAAAAAAAAAGTATGGATAATTCATTTTCCCCTTCTTCTTACCCTTAAAACCCCAGACTAAGATAAACCACTCTTTTCATTCACAATCACTAGTTTTTGCTAAATCATAAATTTAAAAAAAAAAAAAAAAAAAAAAAAAAAAGTTTGCAAGTAGTAGCTGATCAAGGATGGCAGTAGGCGAGACATTTCTGTCAGCGTTTCTGCAGGTGTTGTTTGAGCAGATGCTGTCAACTGGAGGGAGTCAGTTCTTGAAGTTGATTGGCGGAGTCGATCTGCCGAAAACAATAAAGAAATGGAAGATACAACTTACCAAGTTGGAAGCTCTGTTGGATGATGCTGAGTTGCAGCAGTTTCACAGTAAACCTGTCAAGTTGTGGCTGAATGATCTCCAAGATTTAGCTTACGACATTGAGGATCTCTTGGATCATTTTGCTACCGAAGCTTTAGTTTACCAGTTGAAAAAGGCGGAAGAAGATGAAGCTTATGCAGTAATTGATCACTCAAACTCTGGGATTCTAGTCAGAATGGTTTGTGCTAATTAACTCACTTACTCCGAACTAATTAACTTCTTCCTACAAGTTAAACTGTAGGACTAGACATGATAGGCAAAGCTTAAATAATAATGATAGGCAAATCTTGAAGTTGATGATGTTTAAATTTAATGATATGATATGCTAACACTTGTCTTGAATTCATTGATCAGGCGCAAACCATTTGTGTATGTGGTTCAAGAGCTGCAGATAGTCTCTCCACCTTTCTCAAACCTGTTGATCAACGCATTCGAGACAAGATTGATGACATTACGAAGCGCTTGCAAGATATTCAGGACCAGACACAGAGTTTGAGTCTGACAGCGGCACACATGATGCAGCAGCAGACTCTCCAAACAGAAACTCTTCGAAGCCAGAGAGAATCCACTTCTTTGGTTGGGCAGGTTTTTGGAAGGGATGACATGAAAGAAGAGATAATTACAATGCTACTGAAAGATGATCAGAATGCTGTAGATTATGTTGTGATTCCTATTGTTGGAATGCCTGGCATTGGAAAGACGACCCTTGCTCAGTATGTATACAACGATGAACAGATGTATGTATACAGAGGTGAGCAACTCTATGCTCACAACGGTGAGCAGCAGAAGTCTAATTTTGATCTCAAGGCATGGGTGTGCGTCTCAGATGTGTTCGATGTCAAACGAGTCACAATAGATATAATTAACTCGGCCACCCACAGCAATTTCAACTGTAGCAACTTGGATCAGGCACAATTGAAATTGCAGGAAGTGCTAAAAGGCAAAAAATTCTTTATTGTTCTAGATGATATCTGGAGTGAGGAATATGGTGATTGGTACAAGCTGCAGGAACCTTTCCGACACGGTGCAAAAGGAAGCAGAGTGATAATGACAACCAGAATTGACAGTATTGCAATGATGATGGTTACTAATCCAACTCAACGCGATATAATCAAGTTAGAAAGGTTGTCGAAAGATGACAGTTGGCTTATATTTCAGCAGCATGCAAATGAAGATTCTGATCTTGCTGAGATGCGGGATAATATTATAGAAAAGATCAATGGATTGCCTTTGGCCGCTAAAGCTTTAGGAGGTCTCCTTAAAAGTATTCCAGACAAGAGCCAACGCCGAAAGATACTAGAGAGCAATGTTTGGGGTGAGAAGAGCAGTGTTTTACCAGTTCTAAGGCTGAGTTACCATCATATGCCTTCTCATTTGAAGCGTGTATTTGCTTACTGTTCAGTATTTCCAAAAGACTACATCTTCAAGGAGACGGAACTTGTCTTACTATGGATGGCTCAGGGCTTCCTACCAGAAACCCAAAATGAAAGAATGGAAGATATGGGCCACAAGTACTTCAATGATCTTGTATCAAGGTCATTATTTGAAAAACCCCCATCTTTAAATGGAAAAGAGTTCATCATGCATGACCTCATCCATGATATGGCTCAATTGGCTGCAGGTGATATCTGTTATATAATGGATTCCAAGAGAGATGATCTTGAAAGAGTTCGCCATTTATTTGTCACTGATCATGTTCATACATTGGGAAGACTAATTATGGCTCCTCAGTTGCGATCATTTCTATGCAGCAAATATTATTTGAGAGTTGATAATTTGGAATACACCATCCTAAGAATGCATTACATACCCGCTCTATGCATAGCTTCAAAGGAAATTAATGTTTTGCCAGAATGTATTGGTAATTTAAAACCTTGGATTTGGAGAGCTCTTCCTCAACTTGTCTTGAAGTACTCCATGTTGCAGGATGTGACTCTATCGTCTTTACTTGTGAACAACCTGCAAAGGCTTCATTGGAGCTTCCTCTGCTCACCTACTTGGGAATAGAAAGATGCCCAAGTGTAAGATTTTTACAACAAAGCCTGCTTCTCCCAGCTTTACAAAGTCTTCGCTTGTGGGATTGCAAGAATATGGAAAGGCTTCCTGCTCAATTGCACAATTTAACCTCCCTCCAACGATAAGATATTGAAGAATGCCCTAAAATCCATTGCTTAGCAATTTCATCTCACTCTGTAGACGCAGTAGAGTGTATACCGTGCCCACATCTTTCTCTTCCCTCTTCCTTGTCTGAATTAAATATCAAGGGTTTCCAAAACTTGAGAACCATATCCTTGCTTAGCAATTTCACCTCACTTGAAATTTTATCAATTTTAGATTGCCCAAAATTCCACAACTTCCCACAAGGAGGTTTGCCTAAGAACCTGAGGCATATTATAATTCGGGTAACCAACATAGACAAACCAATAAAAGAGTGGGGATTGCACCTTCTGTCTTCCCTTCTTTCTCTTAGACTTGCAAATGTTGGAAGCTCTGTTGATACATTAGAGTGCATTACCTATTCTGACCTTCCCTCCTCTTCGTTAGAGAAATTAGAGATAGAGGGTTTCCAAAATTTGAAAACAATATATTGTTCCACTCTTCCCAGGCTGTCAGAACTAGATATCCGCTCTTGCCCTAAATTTGAATCCTTTGGTGACAATGGCCATCCTCCACGCCTTAGAATCATTTATATCAAAGAGTGTAATATAATAGAACAACAGTTGAGAAGTGATCCCAATGGCATTATAGAAACAGACAGTGGAAAATTCTCGCAACCTTAGTCTAAAAGTCAACCAAGCTCAGCCCATCCAAGTAAGTTTAATAAATTTTGCAATTTTTACATCAACTTACATTTTAGTACATCTCACACCATGTTGTTACAATAATCCTAACGATCAATGGTATCGCCTTTTTGCGTTCTTTTATTTTGTATTCTCAGACAGATGATTAGTATAGAGTGTTAGAAAAGTGGAGGAACATTATAACAATGTTGCCTTTGTTTTTTTTCCTGAATTTGTCAAATAATAGTGGTGGGACAGAGAACTTGATCTAGCTGAACATTTTTACAATCGTTCACTACATACTACATTTTAACTTCAGATTGGATTTAAATTTTGTGTCATTGTGGAAACTAATGGACATTGTACTCGTACAATCTTTTTTATATATTTAACTTGATTGTTACACTATTATTTTGGTGGAACATTTATTTTATAAATTAAATGTGCAATGTTCTGATATATTATAGTATCAGAACATGACCTTCAAGTGCAATCGTTTGCTCATATGGTGCAAAGAACTCAAGAAACTGAGAAGCCTAGCAGCATTAGTAACATCATATCTGCCAGATTAAGGTATTTGAAAAGTTATTTTTTTGGTGTTGCTGATGGTAATCCAAAGTATTATGCTACTTGATATGAATTTCAACTCATGCCATGTGTTTGGGTTATTTTTTTGGCTGTCTCATCATAATTCATATTCATGTCTACACTTTATTTCGAACTAATTCATTTGTTATTTCAATTCCACACTTCTATTGCTGAACGGGTTTTTGTCATTTTTTCACTTTGATTCAGGGAAAATAGTGAGGGTGCAACTAAAAATATGGAGGAAGTATATTTCAAGGACTCAGGAACCATGTCCATCTGCTCTCGACTTATAATAGTTCATTGACAACCATGTTTTCTTCTTTCGGAACATGTTATTGGAGAGGTATCTCTAGTAATTAAAGCTCTTTGCCAATTTATTGTCCTGATTGGTTGGTCATTCCGAACTACTATGTTCTGATGTTAATGTAAGTCACTCCATAGCCTATTAATTACTATGAACCTCTTTTGCTTTGTTGATCAAACTTCCTCCTGCTTTTGTATCCCACCTTAAGAATTGCTTTGTTGATAAAAGTCACAATGATCGGTGACCTGATTTTTTTAACCAATTAACCTGCGACATATGGTCATTGAGACTGTTTGAAGAAAACACATCCCAAAGTTGGGATTATTCCAAAATAATCAAAAGTTGGAATTATTTAAATAATGAGAAGATAGCTTCGTAAGGCAAGCCTCAAAACAGTAAGCCCATCTTATAGATGACATCATAGAATCAAAAGAGGATATCATCCATGTAATACCCTATAATTTTGGAAAATATTTTCTCAATTTGGAACCAAAATAAATTTTGAATTTTGGTGCCAAAATGGTTAGAGGATAATATTTTCGGATAATTAATAAATTTAATTATCTTTTATATTATTTTAAGTCGGTCCATATTTTTATCACTTTTGATTTTATGTTGTATGTAAACTTTCGAAAATTTATAATATTTGGACTTAATAATATTATTTTCGAATTTTATCTTAATTAATAATATTTAGAAATTTTAATTATTTTGAGATAACATCTAAAATAGATGATATGTGTGGTAATAATCCATACCTAATTTTGTGCCTGTTTAGTCCCTTGCTTAGGGTTCGTAGTATTTTCTAAGTGATCTTGCCCTATTTCTGCCTTGTTTTCACAAATCTTTGAAGAATTTAATCTCCCTTCCCAAGATTAGGTCCATGGCTGATAAATTATTAAATGATTTCGAAAATATTAAACTGACTGACGAGGAATCGAAGGTCATTGGAGATCGTTCGATAGAAACGGAGGATGAAGGAACGAAGAATAAAATTGCTCTATCGTTAGTGGGGAAACTTCTTACATCCAAACCTTTCAACGTGGAGGCAATGAAGCGCACGTTAACTTCTGTTTGGAGATTACATAATCATACAGTGATCAAGATGGTGGAGACGAACCTCTTTGTTTTTCAGTTCTTTAATGATGTAGACAAGGAAAAAGTCTTAGATGGTTGTCCGTGGTTCTTTGATGGGAAACTTCTTCTTCTCAAGGAAATTGATGGCGATGAACAACCATCGGAGGTAGTTTTCAAATATGCCCCCATGTGGGTGAGACTTCTAGACGTCCCCTTTAGCAAACGTAACAGAAAGAGTCTAACTGAAATCGGGGACTTCTTGGGTGTATTCCTGGAGATCGATGAGACTGAACCCCTAGGATGGGGGGAATTTATGCGGATGAAGGTGATGATCGATATTGAGAAACCGTTGCGAAGGGGCCTATTTCTAGCTGTTGGTGCGTCGGCTTCGAAATGGATCTCTTTAAAGTACGAAAGGCTGGAGGAGTTTTGCTTCTTTTGTGGGAGGTTGGACCATACAGAAGGAAGTTGCGTTTTCAAGGAAGAAATAAGGGAGGAGGGGGAGGAGATTGTCTACCAATACGGTCCTTGGCTCCGTGCTTCACCAAGGAGACCTCTTAGGAAGTTTGAGAATGAGATTGCAAAAGAGAAGAAGTGGAAGGAAGGGCTGCTATCGATGAGGAAGGGTCGTATCCCGTCCTACAATGATCCAGGTGCTGTTAAAGTGGGCCCTCCAGGGGCTGCATGCAAATTACACTTTCCATCTCCAAAGGAGAAGGAGGCTAAGCTAGTCAGTGTCATTGATCACAAGACCTCAAAATCCGTCTTGCGTATTAGAAGCCTTGCTGACGAGAATGTAAGTGATTCTGGGCATGGAGAAGAAGCAGTAGATCAGCATGCGGATATTCAAGGTATAAGCTCACATCCTAGTGTAATTGTAGTATTTGATGAGATGGAACATGATTTCCTTGAGACCAATTTATGTGAAAATGTCCTTGTTAAAGAGAGGGGTGCAACTAGGAATGATGACAGTAAGAGGGCTGAGGATGGTAATACTAATAGGGGGACAGTAAGGAAAAGAAGCCTAGAGGCTCCCTCCCATGAGGATCCGGAGCTAGGTATGCAAAATTTCTCCAAAAAACAAAAATTCTGATCCACTTTTCGAGCCGGAGACGGGGTAATTCAAGTAGGGGGTGTTGGAGGGAACCAACCCCCCGAACAGAAATGAAGATCATTTGTTGGAATTGCCGAGGGGCGGGCAACTCTCGTGCAATTCGAGCTCTCCGTCATTGGAGTAGTAGTTTGAGCCCGAATTTAATTTTCTTATGTGAAACTATGGTTAGTAGGAAAATTTCAGAAAATTTAAAAAATAAGTTCGGTTTTTCAATGTCTTTTGGTGTTAGTAGCAGGGGAAAATCAGGTGGGATTTGTGTGTTTTGGAGGGAAGGTGTTCAGTTCTCTTTGGTTTCATATTCGGATCATCACATTTGCGGAGATGTTACTGACTTTGGAGGCCGGCTGTGGAGATTCATTGGGGTGTATGGGTGGGCGGATAGGGCTCAGAAGAGTAATACTTGGGCTCTCATGCGTTCCCTCTACCTGGACTCACCTTACCCAACGGTGTTTGGAGGTGACTTTAATGAGATCCTTAGTGCTGATGAGAAGGTAGGGGGTGCTTTGCGTGAACAACGGGCTATGGATGCTTTTAGAGAAGTCCTTGATGATTGTAATTTGAGGGACCTAGGCCATGATGGTTCGTGGGTGACTTGGGAGCGTGGTAATGGTCAGCATGGTGTTGTTAGGGAACGGTTGGACAGGTATGTGGCCTGCTCTCGGTGGTGCTCTTGGTTTGATCAAGCTCATGTTTCTCACCTGACAAAATTTCGGTCTGATCACGTGGGTATTATGTTGGATACGGAGGCCAGAGTGCGTAGGAAGAAGGCTATAAAGAAGAGGAAATTCCGCTTCGAGACCTGTTGGTTGTTGGCCGATGGTATTGAAGACGTGATCAGGACTACTTGGGGTAATTCTCGCCATCTTGACATGCCCAACAAGCTGCTGAATATTGCCCATGATCTGACTAAATGGAGTAAAGATGCTTTTGAAAATCTTGGAGAGAAGATTGAAGAAACTGAAGAGGCTTTGAAAGAAGCTCAGAAGAAGGCGAGTTCGCAGGCTAGCTTTGCCGAATGCAGCAAATTAGAAGGTATCCTTGACGATCTTCATGAAAAGAATGAGGCTTATTGGTTTCTAAGATCAAGGGTATCTGAGATCAAAGATGGGGATCGCAACACCAAATATTTCCATCACAAGGCTGCTCAGAGGAGAAGTAAGAATTACATCATGGGTCTTAAAAATGGGGATGGGGAATGGTGTTCAGGGAAGAAAAATGTTGAGAAGGTGGTCCTGGATTTCTATAGCTCCCTGTTTTCTAGAGGCGAGGTAGATGGGGCTCTGTTGGAGGAGGTCTTGACTAGTTTTCCTGCTATGGTGACGGAGAGTATGAATCTTTCCCTATGTCGTCCGTACCCCAAAGATGAAGTCCACACTGCTCTTTCTCAGATGAGCCCATGTAAGGCTCCGGGTCCAGATGGGCTCCATGCGATCTTCTATCAGAAATATTGGCATATTGTAGGCGATGATGTGACTACCTATGTTAATAATATCATCTCGGGGAGAGTTCCTATGGACAACATTGCACCAATGTTGCCCTCATCCCGAAGGTCCAGCACCCTACATGTATTTCTCAGTTCCGACCCATCTCCCTGTGCAATGTACTTTATAAATTAGCCTCTAAATCAGTGGCTAATAGGTTAAAGCCTCTTCTCCATTCCATGGTCACTGAGAATCAGAGTGCCTTTGTTCCAAAACGTCTGATAACTGACAATGCTTTAATTGCCCTTGAACTTTTCCACACAATGAAGAAGAAATCGAAGGGTCGCCGTGGGATGATTGCAATGAAGCTAGATATGAGCAAGGCGTATGACAGGGTGGAGTGGGAATTCCTGAGACGGCTTCTGACTAAGCTTGGGTTTGCAGGAGCCTGGGTGGATACTATAATGACCTTCGTATCTACGGTGCGATACTCTTTTCTCATTAATGGAGCCCCTTCGGATTTACTATTTCCGACCAGAGGCCTCAGACAAGGTGACCCTATATCCCCTTATCTCTTCATTCTAGTTGCTGATGTTTTGTCTAGAATGTTACAGGCGGCTTCGGATAAGAATTTGATCCATGGAGCTCGGCTAGTAGAAATGGTCCGGAGATTACTCATTTGTTTTTTGCAGATGATAGCCTTTTGTTTACTAGAGCCACTCGACAGGAATGTTCGATCATTGTTGATATCCTCAACAAATATGAAGCAACTTCCGGGTAAAAAATTAATTTGGAAAAGTCGGAGGTTTCTTTTAGCAAAGGGGTTCATTTATCGTCTCGGATCACGCTTAGCTCTATTCTTGGGATGGAAATGGTGGATGACCACGTCAAGTATCTTGTTTTGCCGACTATGGTGGGAAGATCCAAGAAAACTTTTTTTGCTTTTGTGAAAGACCGAGTTTGGAAGAAGGTCCAAGGTTGGAAGGAAAAGCTTTTGTCTAGAGCCGGGAAAGAAGTGCTTCTCAAGTCCGTAGTCCAAGCCATTCCGACATATTTGATGGGTGTGTATAGATTCCCAAATAATCTAATACAAGACATTCATGCCATGATGGCACGGTTCTGGTGGGGGACTAACGAAAAGGGCAGGAAGATCCATTGGAGAAGCTGGGAGTCTCTATGTCAACCCAAGTTCCTTGGGGGTATGGGATTCAGAGATTTGGGGGTCTTTAATATAGCTCTTCTCGGCAAGCAGCTCTGGCGTTTAGCTACAAATGAACACTCTCTTGTGAGCAGGGTGTTCAAAGCCAAGTATTATCCCAGAACATCAATCCTTGAGGCTGCATTAAGTCCGGTATCGAGTTACTCCTGGAAAAGTCTATGGAGCGCAAAGGCCCTTGTGAAGGAAGGCATGCTTTGGAGAGTGGGTAATGGCCATACTATCAAAGTTTGGTCGGATCCTTGGCTCATTGATGATGAGAGCCGATTTGTTACTTCGGACAGCAGGGTGGATCTCTGTACGATGGTGGAGGAGCTCATAGATAAAGAGAGATGCTGCTGGGACTTACCCAAGATTGAGAGTATATTCAATGACAGAGATAAGTCAGCGATGTTAGCCATCCCACTTAGCAAACGTCTGCCTGCTGACTCTCTCACCTGGGCTTGGTCAAAGGATGGGTGCTACACGGTGAAATCAGCTTATATCCTTGGTAAATCCCTTGATTTGGACCACTTTGAGAAATATTGGGTCGAACTATGGAAGGCAAGGGTCACTCCAAAAGTTCGCCATTTCCTATGGAGGTGCTGCTCAAATACTTTACCCTCTCGAGATCTCCTGGTGTTCAGGCACCTCTTAGAAGACTCCCATTGTCCTTGTTGCGGATTGATGAGCGAAACAGCCACTCATGCTGCAATTTTGTGCCCCTGTTCATATCAGTTATGGTTCAGGAGTGGCTGTCAAGAAGCCCTTTCTTATGCTTCATCGGAATCTTTTGGCGAAGTGTTGCTAGGATGGGCTACAAACCTCTCAACTGAAGTTTACCAGAAAAGCTTGTTTCTCACTTGGCTAATTTGGTTTCGTCGCAACAAATGGGTTTTTGACAATGAGTGGGATCCGGATGAAGCCCTCGTTCTCAGGCATAGCAGGTTAGTAGATGATTTTGGTGAGTATGCTGAAAAAATTTATGGAGAGACTTCCCTTCCTACTGCTCTTGCTGGCAGACCGAATTGGGAGCCTCCTCCACCTGAGTTAGTGAAGGTGAATGTAGATGCGGCAATATTTGAGGATGGCTGGGTGGGGCTAGGTGCCATTGCTAGAGACAACATGGGTAGCATCCTCTTCTCGGCTGTCAGACGGGTTAGAGCTAAATGGGAGCCTCTGGTAGCAGAAGGCAAAGCAGCCCTGTTTGGGATCAAGAAAGCTATGGAGCAAGGTTGGAAGGATATTGTCTTAGAAGCTGACTCTCTTGTGCTTGTCTCAAAGCTTAAGAAGGGATCTTTCTCTCTTGCGGCAGTTGATGGTGTCTTAGAAGATATTTCTTTTGTTAGTTCGGAGTTATCCTCTATAGTTTGGTCTCATGTAAAACGTGATGAGAATTTTGTGCCTCATCACCTTGCTAGGATAGTGCCGATTGATCATGAACATTTGTGGGAATACTCAGTTCCGGATGAGATATCCCCGTATGTTTTGTTGAACTCTCTTTGTATGAATTAATGCACTATCGTTTTCTTTCAAAAAAAAAAAAAATTTTGTGCCTGTTTTTTTTTTTGGGTGAAATTCTATTATGTTTTAGTTTTTTACAATCTTAGATGTCGAATTGATATAAATCGAGTTTAAACATTTTTATAGGTGGCATTGTGTCACGGTCTGGGAGTTTGGACCCCGAAACGTGCGGCGCGCTCTAGCCTTTTGGCGACAAGAACGCTAGCCTTGAGCGGAAGAGGGGCTTGTGAGCACAAAGCAACACAGGCGGGCAATAGAATCTCAGGAGCACTCACGTCTATCTGGGCGACGGAGTGCGGGTGGTCGGGGCTTGTGACGGCCGATACTTCAAAGCGGGCACAAGCGGGTCCGAACCACGAGTCCTTAGCGCATCAAGTTGGGTTGGAGGGGAGCTAATATGCAAGTAAGACACAATATCTATAAAGGTCTAAAAACAAACAAGCATAAAAGCAAGGCAACACTTGGTAGAAGGCTTCAAGATTTCATTAATCATTCGCCCTCTAAAGAGCTTTAAATGACATACAAGGAGAATCCCTAGTGAACACTGATTTGACAGTAACACAATAATGGGACCTCAAGCTAAGAAAACATAACCTAAACTCTAGGAAAGCACTTAAATGGAATCTAATACATCAAAAGGAGTTGGATTCTAACATCCTCCCCCACTTAAGCTGTCGACGACCTCGTCGACTTACGAAAGTTACAATCAAAATTAGAAAACCCTAAACTATCTCAAGTTTCGGATGCGCCGTTGGTGCGGCTATCTTCTAGAATCTTATCTGACTCTTGAGCTGGATCTTCTTTGTTGACGAGGAGCTTGTCTCTGGAGTCGCTCGGCTTGAACATCTTGTTGAGAGCTTCATCTCTAAATTTCCTCCTGGGAGTGGAATCTGTTGAATTAAGGGGACAGCTGCTTCCACCATCATCTGTTGGGGAGCTGCTTCGTTGAGACTGTGGTGGAAAGCTTCAAGTTGTGGCTGGTGCCTCTTGGGTGACCATTTTCTTTGTAATCCCTTGCACGCGCCCTGCGTTGTTTGCTCAACCACTGTTTTTCCTCCCTCTTGGGAGGTTCTTCTTTGGTGTCTCTTTGGTGTCTCTGGGCTCGTCGCTCTTTGCTTCGAACCTTGTGACTGATTCTGGTTTTCGCGGGTGTGTATCTGGGATGTTGCCAACTCCATGGGCTTCATCTCCCGCTTCTCTGGGTTTCTGGTGCGAGCTTGTTTCTTCGATGTTGCCTTCTTCTCAGGCTCCATCACTCGCATTGCCGAAAGATATCGGACTTCTGGTTCTCCTTGAGGTGCTATCATTCTCATAGCACTCAGGCGTCGTATGGAACCCATCCTATATGTGGGCTCCTCATCGCTGCTAGTCTCTTTTGTGGCCTCCTGAACGGACATGGATGACAATCTCTTTTGGATCTTGTCAAGTTCTTCTTTATGCTCGCAATCCCACCATTTGTGTGGACCTCGACAAAGTATGCAGTTTATTGCCCTTGTGTTTGCCGAGGATGCGCCGGCCCTCGAGTTTCCTGAGTTGTGAGAGGGGGTAGATGTTTGTCTCTAGGCATCACCTCCTCCACTTCTTCTATGATATGTATTAATGGTGTTGGACGATACTCGTGAGCCATTCTCTGTACCCTTTGGAGAGCTTGGAGACGGACTGTTAGAGCGTGTTGACGTCCCACTTGAATCCTTCTCGGATTGACGACCCTTCCCGACTGAGTAGTCCATCAATCTCTCAGCAGCACACATAGCAGCAGCGAGGGTATCAATATTCTGCCTCAAAATCTCTCGCTGCGCCCATTCCTTTAACCCGTTGACAAAGTTGAACACACGATCTTTCTCATTCATGTCTGTGATGTCCAACATTATCGCCGAGTATTCCTTAACATAGTTGCGAAGAGAACCCTTCTGGCGGCACTCTTGCAACTTCATCCGTGCAACAAACGCTGTGTTGACGGGGTAGAATTGTTCTTTGAGTTCCTCTTTGAACTCCGCCCATGTATCAATCTTGATCCTTCCTGCTTCGATGTCTGCGTGCTTGGTGCGCCACCACAGCTTAGCATCTTCGGACAAGTACATGATGGCAGTATCCACCTTCTGATCGTCACTTAGTTGACATATTCGGAAGTACTGCTCCATGTCGAAGAGGAAGTTATCAACTTCTTTCGCATCTCTAGCGCCACTGTAGTCGCGAGGTTTGGGCGGCTTTATCTTCGCCGCACCAACACCCAGTGCGTCTCTGCCCACAGCGCGCGTTAAGGTAGCACATTTCTCAAGTGCTTCGTCGGCTTTTCCTTGAACAAATTGCAATTGTTCGCGGAGGGCATCTCTGTCAGCCATCAATTTCACAATTTGCTCGGCTTGCTCGTGTACAATGACTTGGAGCTCGGCCCATTTGTCCGCCTTCTCCTCGAGCCAAGCGAGCCTTTCTTCTACGAATTCCATCTTCGTGTAGCCCTCCTTGGTGCCTACACGGGTTGCTTGCGACGAGGTTTGAGCCTCGGCTCTGATACCAACTGTCACGGTCCGGGAGTTTGGACCCCGAAACGTGCGGCGCGCTCTAGCCTTTTGGCGACAAGAACGCTAGCCTTGAGCGGAAGAGGGGCTTGTGAGCACAAAGCAACACAAGCGGGCAATAGAATCTCAGGAGCACTCACGTCTATCTGGGCGACGGAGTGCGGGTGGTCGGGGCTTGTGACGGCCGATACTTCAAAGCGGGCACAAGCGGGTCCGAACCACGAGTCCTTAGCGCATCAAGTTGGGTTGGAGGGGAGCTAATATGCAAGTAAGACACAATATCTATAAAGGTCTAAAAACAAACAAGCATAAAAGCAAGGCAACACTTGGTAGAAGGCTTCAAGATTTCATTAATCATTCGCCCTCTAAAGAGCTTTAAATGACATACAAGGAGAATCCCTAGTGAACACTGATCTGACAGTAACACAATAATGGGACCTCAAGCTAAGAAAACATAACCTAAACTCTAGGAAAGCACTTAAATGGAATCTAATACATCAAAAGGAGTTGGATTCTAACACATTGTGAAAAGTCCTGCAGAGGATTTCGGGTGGCATGATCCAGGTTACATACATACAGCTGTTATAACAGGACTTCAACCTTCTGCTAATTTTTCTTACAAATATGGAAGGTTAGTCTTCTTTCCTGTTCAACCTACCCTTAGTTCTAATACAAATAGTCTTGAATTCTGCTCTAAAACAAGTTTGTTTCTGCCGTGCAGTGGTGCAGTCTGATGGAGTGATGAGATCCAGTTTAGAACACCGCCTGCATGAGGATCAGATGAACTGATATTTTTAGCATTCGGTGATATGGGAAAGGCCCCTCGTGATTCTGCACTGGAGCATTACATTCAGGTAATTATTCCTTTTTCGGGTTTGTATGTAGGCCAGATAGATACCAGATGTGCTTAAAGACCACAAACTTGGCTAGAGTCATGGTTTTCTTGACCAGCACTTTGGCAGGTCGGGTTAGACTGTAGTTAAGAATACAAGCTTAACCTTTAATTTAATTTTGTGGCATTAGCCAGGATCACTCTCTGTGGTGGCTGCAATGGCAGAGGAAGTTGCTACTGGCAAAGTGGACTCAATATTTCACATAGGCGACATAAGTTATGCCACGGGTTTCTTAGTCGAGTGGGACTACTTTCTTCACCTCATCACACCTTTGGCATCTCGAGTATCATACATGACAGCAATTGGGAACCATGAAAGGTTCAATTATCTTCATTTCAGATTTGAAAATATTAATAAACGTGCACTTTACATCTTGCTAATGCTTCTCTATTTTTCTGTCTTACCAAAAAAATAGGGACTATGCTGATTCAGGATCAGTGTACTTGACACCAGACTCTGGTGGAGAATGTGGCGTTCCGTATGAGTGTTACTTCCCGATGCCAACATCGTTAAAAGATAAGCCTTGGTATTCCATTGAACAAGGTCCTGTTCACTTCACTGTCATCTCAACCGAGCATAAGTGGACACCAGGTTCCGAACAGGTATATTATGATCATTAATCTTCTGGAAATTTTTTCAATATATATATATATATATATATATTTTTTTTTTTTTATTTTCCTGCATCTCTTTCGGCATTTTTTTCCTGTTTGATCACAAATCACCCTTCTTCCTTTGCACTTGCAGTACAATTGGATGAAATCAGATATGGCTTCAGTTAACAGGAATTAAACTCCTTGGCTAATGTTTACCGGGTTAGTCAAAATTTTGCTAGTACTTTTGAAATCCTTTTATTTCATCTCCAATTATCTTTTTTTCACACTGATTATGGTGTAAAAGTTCATAAATATTCATCAAGGATTAGTGGTTTTATTAGTTCTTGTATGTAACTACAGATATTAATGGTCAAAGAGTAGTCTCGGGAAAATAATTCAGGAACATAAGGAGTAATAAAGCTAAAAAACTTTAACTCCGCCAAATCCTAACACAAAACTTATGGTTTAATTCAGGCACAGGCCAATGTACACTTCTGCAAAATCGGCCCTAGTCAGTGTTGATATTATATTTATTAATTTTATTGAGCCATTACTACTCCAAAACAAGATTTATATTTTCCCCTCTAATGAAGTTACATAAATTTGCACTAATAATTGATAATATTATTTGTTTCATGCCAAATTCGACGACTAAATAAACAATTTGTGATAGGTTGATTTGGTGTTATTTGGGCACGTTCACAACTATGAGAGGACTTGTGCAGTGTATCGCGGCAAATGCAAAGCCAGACCTACGAAAGACGAGAATGGAGTTGACACTTTTGATAACTCAAACTACTCTGCTCCTGTTCAAGCTGTATTTGGGATGGCAGGGTTCACTTTGGATGAATTCTCTCCTATTGTAAGCCCTTTTCACTTTAATATTATAATGTACTACCTATGTATCTTATTATTTGCAACAAAGGGTATTATTTATGAGATGTAAAACATTCATTTGTTGTAGATAACAAGAAACAAAGGTAGTATTTTGGATGTTATTTGAATGGTTTCATAGATCGAGTTGACTCTTATCTTGTCACAGGTGCAAAATTGTTTAAAAAGAATTAATAAGTTCGGATATTCAAGAATACATGCAAAACGGGGAGAGTTGAAACTCGAGGTTAGAATTAATTATATTATTACATTATTTAATAAAATTATATATATTGTTTTGAAAAGAAAAAATCTTTTTTTTTAATTCTTTTCATAAATTGCAGCTTGTGAACTCAAATACAAGGGAAGTTGAGGATTCATTTCGAATCATAATGAAGTAGAGTTAATCAAGGACAATGTTTGCCCTTGTTTCATTTCGAATCGTAAAGAAGGCAGAGGTAATCAAGGAAAGAGTGTTTCCTCTTCATGCTTCATTCCAAGTGAAAAAGAAGTAGAGTTGATCAAGAACAAATAGAAGTTCGAATCATAAACTTTCTTTTTTCGTTTCGAATCAAAGACTGTTCCAAATCACAACACATACAACAGTACAGTACATGATTCTTGTGGAAATTACAATACTTTGAATGAAAACTACAGGATGTACATCATGTAAACAAAAGATAGCATAAGGAAGGAAGGCGTTGCGAAAATTTATGTGAATTAATTTTTTTAAAAATATAGTGTTGGGAAGCTTTGATGTTCGTATTGTCCATACATTTCTTTGATGTTTACCGTTGGTATTCAATGTATTAATCTGAGATACAAAAAATTTAACTGAATTTTTCTCTAACAGTACCAAAGGCCCTTCCTAATTACAAAGTGTAGTACAATGCATTAGAACCACAAGCAAGCACATAATAACAAGGGAAACTATTCTATATTTCTATGTACCTTGCACAACACATAATAAAAATGGAAATTAGTTCGTGTACCCCTGAGAATTTTAAAAATGCACCGTGTATCCCCGAAAAGTTTTAAATGAATCATGTACCCCTGACAAATGCTAATTATACACTAAACACCCTTACTAACTAACATCGTTAAGTCTCCGTTAGTTTTATGTCTCAAGCTAGATCAGATACCCTAAAGTTCCATAAAATGTACAAAATAACTTTTATAAGGACTAGTTTTCAATCCAATTTTCCTAGGTAGAGCAGATAGAATCTGACTCGACTTGAACCTGGCCCAAATTTACCGAGAGAAACCCGAACCCGACCTGACCCAATCGATCCGGTTTGACTCATTTATCATACTGTACTTTGTAATTATGTTAAGTTTTTACACTTTTGAGGCATGCAACTAAGGGAAACCTAACGGTGTTAGTAAAGGTATTTAGTGCATAATTATCATTTGTTAGGGGTACATGGTTCATTTTAAACTTTCCAGGGTACACGGTGCATTTTTTAAATGTTCAAGGGTACACTATTCAATTTCCCTTATAACAAAGCTTCTATTCAGATCATTTTTATTCATGTGATTGCAAGACCAGAAATATAAGAGATGCAGTAAGTATATCACTTGACCGTCTTCTCTTGGCATTGAGCTTCAACGTATTGGCTATGAAACAAAGCTAGCCTGAATTGCACCAGCATTTGCCCTACCAATAAATTTATGATCCAGACCAACTTGCTAATGCTCTTTTTTAGTAGTACTTGCGAAAATTTAGAGTGACCTAAATGATTAGAGGATTATGCAAGGTTGAACATATAGTGGAACCAATTCAGAGAAACAAGAAGCATGGCAAGCAATTTACAGGTAAGATGTTTCTATGGCAGAAAGTTTTGAGGTCAATGAGTTTTAATTTTAGTTGAAGTCAAGTCGAAACCATCTATTACCAGTCGACTCAAGCTCAGCTCAACTTGTGATCGTGTTTCTCAGCACCCATACTGATAAGCATGATATACTCAGCAATTTGTTCCGAAGTACCGTGGGAACCATTATTCAGCAAAGTTTGCATGTCTATCGGCTTTGTTACATTATTAGGAGAATAAAGGTGTCAAATTGGGGCATTTTGTGGAAACACTGTTGCTAATGAGGGCTGTATGTTGTACAGATGGAATTATTTTGCAGGTGGTTTACAAAAATCTGTTCATTTGAGACTTGTGATATTTGGTTCTTCCTAGAGTTGAAAAAACACAAAAGTTAGATCACTTACAGGAATCTGTAGAAAATTGATCATTTGTTCAAAAGTCTTGATTCTTTAGGCTTTTTCATGTTGAATCACCTTGTGCCTGCAACAAAGAGTTACAGATACAAGCATTAGAAAATCAAGAATGCCTCTACTACTCGAAATGAATATAGCTGAAACAAAAACCATATAAAGTACATGAAAAGACACTGACTAATAACTGAATCAATACCTTTGAACATTCTTCCTTGGTTATTTTTTGCATTATAATTAGTTCAGGAAAGTATGCTAAACTTGCTCAGCAATGCTGCAACACACACACACACACACACAACAAAAAAATAAATAAATAAATCTGGTTTGTAAATTCAAGCAGCCTCAAGCCGACTACAGCTTGATCACATTCCTCTGGAGATGCATCCTTTCTCTTCTTAGCAGCAACTTCTTCATTTTCATCATCATCATACTCTGGTTGTCCAGCTGTGGCAGTGGAGGCATGACGAATGGATTGTAACTTCAATGCAATAGACGTTGGCATCCCATTTTTCTGTCTATCATATTGATAAGCAGGTGACCTAATTACATAATATGTAGACCTATACACTTCTTGTGCAGAAAAGTCTGTAACATGGCCTTTAGGATTAGAAAATGAAAATGCATTTCCCTCATTCACATGATTTGTCTTTGAAACATTGTTTGCAGTAGAGCTTGTGTTTGCAGTAGAGCTTGAACTTCGAAAATTAAAATACTGACTGGACTGGTCAGGCTAACATTCTGGTAAATCTGGATAGACCGTAATTGGACATTTAAATAATCTACAAGACATTTTTACCTTCTCACTAGAATTCTAGCTGCCATTAGCAAGATATCCTGCCTTCACCCAGAAAAAACCACATTCACGCTTTCCCTGCATTCAAAGCAATTTGGTCACTATCGCCATGATGAAGGTCCAGCAAAAGTATACCAATGCAGAGAGGTGAAAGAGTAATTTTGTTCACTGATAATGAAAAGAAAGAAATTATACAGCTTCATATGATGCATTCATATCTTAGTTATGCTAAATAGGACATGTCCACCATTTAGATTCTTTTCTTTGTTTGTGTTTCCAAAGAGATCATAACCATTTCAAACTATCATATTTGATATATAAATAATGTTCGTGTCGTGCAGTCATCCACATAGAGTATAGAGATTATAGAACACAGCAATAACAAAAAAGAACAGGACAATTGTCAAGAAATACAGAATATATGTCACTTTTTTGAAGGCAGCAACTACAAAGATTTTTGGGAAATATCAAATTTGGTGGAATTTTTTGGCCACTATAATTGTCAGGCAATGGATATAGCAGGGTTAATTATTTAATTAGGGGTAGGTTAGTTATTATACTTATTTACATTAGAAAATTAGCCATTTATGCATGGGTCTGATGTAATCACAATTAGTATACACATGTACATAAGCAAAATCAAGGGATTGCTAAAGAAATTGGCAAAAATAAAAAAAATCTCCACCAAACGGGATTTGCAAAAGCATAGGGCCAGTAAATAAATTTCCCAAGGTATCTATTATTGCATAAATCTATCTTATTAGACACTACCTCTTAACTCTCTAAGCAAAAAAAAAAAAAACAAAAAAACTTACTTTGACCATAGTATTAACACAATTAGTCAACCAAAGGACAAATGGTGGCAATACTATATTACTATCCCTCGGTGGGCAATTTAAGGACATACAATGATCGATTGAGGATCAAATTAGAGCATTTTTTAATAGAAAAGGTAATGTTTCTTTATCAAATGTCTTAAAAGGAATTGTTGCCAAAAATTTTAAAAAAAAAAAAAAATTAGAACAAGATGTTTTCTTATGTAAAAAGCCCTTACATTGCCACTGTTACCCCAATCCTTTATGCAATAATCTAAGGAGATGATTGGCTAATTGCCCATCATGATTAGGAGTAGCGTTTGATTTCTATGCACTAGATTTTGTTTTCTGGAAAATATAGTGTATTGTGTCAATCAAGCATCATATTTTAGTGATTGATAATCTATTTTCCCAGAGAGGGGGTAGAGGTACTGATATACCAGTGATTTTTCTTATCATAGAGTCAACACTCCAAAATCCCAAGAACTGTAGTTTAAAGAATCACATTTAATATTAAAGGGAAAGTAAATACAAAATAGTATTGCTTCCTTCATTCCAAAATAATTAGGCCTTGTTTGGTTGACAAAGTAAAATGGGGGAAGTGGAAATTTATGGGATTTGATAAGTTGGTTACATTTAGATCAATAAGGAAGCGATTTTCATTCACTTTTAATAGCTAAATCTCTTCATTTCATCTCAAGTACCCACGCCACACACACCGACATCAATATGGCTACTTCTGACAGTCCAATTACAATCAAAATCATATATATATATATTTTTTTTTTTATAATTTTCGCAAATTCATCGAATTGAGCCGAACACCAGTAAAATACAGTTAGAGTACGGAACATTAGTAACAGAGGCCACATTATTAAGTCTCAATCATTTTTCTTCAACAAAGTTTAAAATGAATACTACTTTGTACTTGCTATTATAATTTCCTAAATTGAAAAATGGATTGCAGCTCATAATTTCATAGCCATAAATAACATATGATCTTTGATCAAATGAATAAATAAATATAGAACTTAATAAATTTCTCCTAAAATTACATACCAATTCATGAGAAAATTACACAACATATACAGCAACAAAGAAAATGATAGTTAAACAAAATTAGCGCAAAATGTGAAACTGACAGCAAATTAAAAATCAAATAATCGAAATTAACAAATAACTTAAAACAAATTAAGATGAACTTACAAGATTAGAAATGAAAAATGGTGAGACGAACTGCACAAAAAATGAGAAAGTGACTGTAAAAAAATGGAGAGAGAGAAAGAGAAAGAGAGGAAGATTGAGAAGAGAGAGAATATACTGTAGTTGAGTATGAAGCGTGGAGTTTGGAGAGTGGAGAGAAAGAGAGGGAGGGTTTTAGTTTAATTTTATTAAATTAAAAAGAAAAAAAAAAATGGGGTTTAAGTTTTGAGTTTTGACGCTCACCGTTAAGGATGACAATATTTAGTGGATATCCGCTAACTCGCTCCACCCGCTTTAAATAAATGAACGAGAACTTGAATTAAATGGAGGAGAAGCGGGTGATGATCGGATCGGATGTGGATGATACTTTTTTCACCCGCTAACCATCCACCCACCCGTTTAACATATATTAAATTTTTAATCTAAGAGTTTTAATAATAAAATATGAAATGGGCAAGAAAATTACTTGTTTTTTTTTTTTTGCAAATTAATTTTTCAAACAATATGTTGTTATTGTTTTTGTTTTTATTAATAAAATAAAAAAAATTGTATAAATAACCGAAAATTAGAGTTTATGTGAGTTTTTTTTTTTTTTCACTTTAATACTCATCCATTTGTCATCCACTCCACCCGTTTCATCCGCGGATGATGGACGGACGGATAGGGATGATGGGTGAAGCGGGTGATGGATGGATGTGGATGGAGCGATTAGAATAATGGATGGATGCGGGTGAAGCTCCACCCGATCCGAATCCGATCCATTGCCATCTCTAGTCACTGTCCTTGCTGAGATTGTTGCGTGTGAAAAATTCATTCTGACCTTGGCCAACCATGAAGTCTGAAAGCATGATCTAAATAAACCCGAGCCACATCAACTACTGTGTAAGGGTGAGACATGGCCATGAAGTGTGCATACTTACTAAATCTATCCAGGAGTGGCCACATCCTCAGTTTTGCTTGATTGACATACGAAACAATTCCTCACAAAATTTGTCACACATGTAGTCAATCCTTTCCAATAGAACATGCCCTTCACCTTGACCAAAGTAGCATCTCTGCCAGAATGACCACTCTGCCCAAATGAGTGTAGCCAAGTCAAAATAGCAGATTTCAGTTCATCATCTGGTCCCACAACAAGCTTGCCCTTCCTTCTAAGAAAACCATCAGTTACAACATAATGATTAATAGTTTGCCCAAGCTAAACATTCTAAATAATCCTTGTAGTGTTTACATCTAACTCATAACTGTCCTTAAGCTTCTGAGCTAAATTTGAATCCAGGACAGTGAGAGCTAAGCATAAAACTTCAAAACAAAAAACCCTTGACAAAGCATCTGCAACTGCATTCTCACTTCCACTTCTATATACAATATCATAGTTAAATCCCATTAACTTGGATAACCAAAGTTGCTGAAATGGGGTTGAGATTTTTTGTTGTAGCAACCATATAAGACTTTTCTGATCAGTCTTAATTACAAAATGTTCCCCAATTAAGTATTGTTCCCAATTCTGAACTGTAGTTACAACAGCTAAAAGCTCCTTCTCATAAACAGAAAGTTTTTGCCACCTTGGACCCAAATCTTTACTTAAAAATGCCAGAGGATGACCAGCTTGCACAAGAACTGCACCAATTCCCATATTAGAAGCATCAGTTTCCACTTCAAAGGGCTTTGAATCTAGCAAAGTAAGTACTAGAGCTGTGCTTAAAGAAGATTTAGAGTGTCAAAAGCCACCTGAGCACTAGTGTTCCACTTAAATTCACCTTTCTTCAAGAGCTGAGTCAAAGGCTTGCTGATGTAACCATAGCCTCTAACAAACTTTCTATAGTAACCAGCCAACCCCGAGAAGCTTCTCAACTCTTTGACATTTTTTGGGACAGGCCACTGAACAACTGATTCAACTTTTCTAGGATCAGTTTCAACACCTTTTCCAGAGATAAAGTGGCCTAAATATTCTACTTTTCAATCCCAAAAGAACACTTTCTCATCTTAGCATAAAGAGTGTTCTGTCTCATCAATTCAAACACAGATTTCAAGTGAGCTAAATGCTCCTGTAATGAACTGTTGTAAATCAATATGTCATCAAAGAATACTAACACACACTTTTTGAGCAAAAGTCTGAAAAATATGATTCATCCAACTTTGAAATGAAGCTGGAGCATTTGTAAGACCAAATGGCACGACTAGGAACTCATAATGCCCATTATGAGTCTTAAATGCAGTCTTGAACACATCTCCATCATGCACCTTAACTGATGATACTCAGCTCTTAAGTCAATTTTGCTGTAAACCCAAGAACCTGCCAATTCATTAATCAACTCATCCACTACTGGTATTGGAAACTTATCCTTAATAGTCTTCTTATTAAGTTCCCTGTAGTCAACACATAGCCTCCAAGATCTATCCTTCTTCCCTACTAACACCACTGGAGAAGCAAAAGGATTGCAGATGTCCCTGATTATGCCTTGCTCCAACATTTCCTTCACTAACTTCTCAATTATATCCCTTTGAGACAGAGGATATCTATATGGTCTAATGCTCACTGGATTTGCACCAAACTCTAATGGGTCCTGTGATCAAAGACTCCTCTATTTGTAGGTAAGAATGTAGGTTCTTCAAATACTTCCGTGTACTCTTGTAACAGGTTGCTAATACTTTCAGGCATATTAGTCAACTCAACCTCTAGACAGAACATGTTAGAATCTAAATGCTCAGGCAATAACTGTAAAAAGTACAGTTGAACTGACTGATTAAAAATTTTGTCAACTTTCTGACCAATTGTTGCTACTGTTCTCTTAGGCTTCTCACCTTGCAGCACATAATGCCACCATCACTAACTTCTTGAAATCCCAACTAACTGTAACCAACATACTCAACCATTGAACTCCTAAAACCATATCACAACTTCCTAATGAAATGAGCAGCACATCAGAAGTGAATTCAATTCCCTGCATAGACCATTTGAACCCCTTACACACACTCTGGCGGGCTAAGTGATTGCCATCAACAACAATCACTGCTTGAGGAGAAATACTGTCAATTCCGCAGCCAACTTCTTAGCAATATCTACATATAAGAAATTGTGTGTACTTCCAGAATCAATTAAAATATGTAAAGATCTCTTGTCACAAACATCAGTCAAAGCATTATCTGAAATATAAGGTTCCAGATTTTCTATAGCAGTATTTAGATTTGGTTCAGATTCTACTACACCATCCTCATCACTCTCATCTTCTCCAGGTATTTCAACTATAAATAGTTGAGTTTGCTTAAGTGGGCATTTATGGTTTCTCTCATAAGGCTGGTCACAGAATAACACAACCCTTTAAGTTGTTTCTCCCTCCTTTCTGCTGCAGTAAGAGTAATCTAGGGTTTCTAAAAAGGTTTGTTGGCTTGATAAGGAACCATAGCACCAGAATTTACTGTGCTGGTTTTAGAGGTAGAAGAACCAGAGAAAGAAGTTTTAGCACTAGGAGAGTAAGGTTTAGTCTGACCCTTAGCAGCTTCTAGACTCTCCTCTTGTAACCTGGCAAACTCAACAGCCTCTGCCAAGGTAGCAGGTTTAAAAGCCTCAAAAAAGGGCATAACATCAAGCTTCAAACCCCCAATAAAGCTTACAAGAAAATATGAGTCAATAAGCCCATTATTCTGTTGCAACATCAGAGATTTCAATTCCTCAAAGTCATCAATATAAGATTCAATTGTACCCATTTGCTGCAATTTATTAAATTTTTTTATAGCATTGTCACGTTTAGGGTCTTTAAATCTAGCAGCCAAATCAATTATATTACAAACTCAACCCAATCAACACTACTTCTGGTTGCCAAGTAACTAGCTACCTACACCTCAGCTTATCAATCATATTCGGACTAACAAGATCTACCTTCTGCTCATCATTAATCTTGCAAAATTTAAAGTACTTATTGCATTTTTTAACCCACATTCTACAATTTGTTCCATTAAATTTAGGAAACTCAAGTTTAGGAACATACCGAAGGGTTCTGGTTGGATTGAACCCTGCTTCAACGGATTTTGGAGAAGAAGCTGGAGTTGAAGGAGACGATTTCTGACCAACTTCATCCGATTTAGCATCCAGATCCTACATCATCTTCAAGACTTTTTTCCTGAAAAATCCGGCTATTTTGCTGTTGTTCACCCATTTTTGATTCGAGCTCTTTAAATTGCTGCTCAACAGTCACCATCCTTTTGCCAGTAATCGGCGCCAGAATTCAATTTCAAGAATTTAAGTTTCAATTGAAAATTGAAATCCAGCTCAATTTCAATCGATTTGGGTATTTTCAAGAGATCAAAAACTCTTGAAATGGTTCGGCTCTGATTCCAATGTAACAGTATACAAGTTGTATACTGAAAACTCACAATTCACTAAGAAATTAGCAAATTCAATGAAGAAACTCCATTGTTGATTTGAGAAGAATACACGGTTTTGCAGAGAGAAAAACTAGGAAGAAGAAAGAGAAGATTTTATCTCACAGATTTAAATGAATGAATTTATTATAGAGCCTCCAACTATTAATAGCCTGTAATAACAAAATATCTAAGAAAATTTCTCTAACAAACTAACAACTTCTAATTGAATTGTAACAAACTATGCTGACTGAGCTTTCCTTAACTAAATCCTATTACAGATGAATCTAACAAGATTCCATATGAGCTATATTTTCATTACTTATAAAGCACAAAAACACAATCAAAGGGGAGTGTGTGAATAATGCTAAAGTCAAAATGTATAAACTAAAAAAGTAGTTCCTCTGTTCTTTTTTACTTGACCTATTTCTTTTATCACGCTTGTCAATGCAAAACTTTAACGATCAGTAACTTTAATTCTCCATAAGTTAAAATTATAAAAGTTATATATTATGATAGTACTTATTAAAATGAATTCAAAAAGATCCCACATGAATATGTTTTTCCTTATCTATATTATTCACAAAAGACGGTCAAAGAAGGGATGGTGAATAGTGTAAAAGTCAAAGCGCGTCAAGTAAAAAAGAACGGAGGAAGTATGGAGGTAGTACTTGGTAGTTGGTATATACTACTCCCTCTTTTCCTGGCCACATCCTTTTGAACCCCAACTAATGTAACTAACAAGTGATCAATAATTAAAATTTTGGTTCACCAATCTAAATAAGTAGGAGTGAAAGTTTGATTTTCAATTTGGAATATAGTCCAAACCAAATTCGATTTTAGATTTTTCAATCAAAATCCAAACCAAATTGGAATTTGGTCCAATCCAAACAAAACCAAATAGCCATATTTTTTTAGCATCAGGTTTAATAATAATAATAATAATAATAATAATAATAATAATAATAATAGTAATAATAATAATAGTAGTAATAGTAGTAGTAGTAATAGTAGTAGTAATAATAATAATAGTAATAAAAATAATAATAATAATAATAATAATAATAATAATAATAATAATAGTAATAATAGTAATAATAATAATAATAATAAGCAAATTATATGGTTTTGAAGACAAATTAATAAGATACATAAATTGAATAAAATATTTCACATTATTTTTATAGCATTTAAAATTATAAGGATTCAATTTGTCCACAAATGTTTTTGACATACAAATTACTTAAAAATTAAAGGGATTTGTTAAACATCGCCCGCAAATCTCCACATAAAGCCCACAAATTAGACATGGTTTGACAATTTTGCCCATTTCTAAAATCGTACCCAAAGTGAACAAATCTCGATCTAACAAATGTAGAGTCGTACTGGGTTGCCCAGGGAGGCCGGAGAGGCGAGGGTCGCCGGAGATACGCCGTCTTCGACGGAAAACGAGGTGGCGCCTAGTTTGGACGCCGGAACCATGGCAAGGACGTCCAGGCAAGGCGCCACAACCAGTGCACTGGCGTCCAGGCCAGACGCCACAACCAGTGCACTGGCGTCTAGCCCAGGCGCCTCAACCAGTGCACTGGCGTCCAGGCCAGGCGCCACCACCAGTGCACTGGCGTCTGGTTTGGACGCCGCCCTTACTTTTTAATTTTTTTTTTTTTTGCCTTTTTTTTTATTTTTTTTTATTTTTTTAAATTATGTTTATTAAATTTATGTTTTGATTTAGGATGTGGAAATTTATGTTTTTTATTTGATTTTATAAAAAATATATATACTAGACTTATAAAAAATAACACATAAAATTAATAATTATTAAAAAAAAAAATCAAACACATTAAAAAAAAATTAGAAATTTTTTCTGATTTTCCAAAAAAAAAAATATTAAAAAAAAAAAAAAATTTAAGGCAGCTGGGGCGCCTGGCCAGGACGACCCGTGGCTGGTGGTGACGCCAGGTCCGGCAGCCACGTCCACCGGCCTGGCGTCTGGGCAGGACGCCCAGCCACAGTGACTGGCGCCTGTCCCAAACGCCACTCACCGTGGCTGGGCGTCCTGCCCAGACGCCAGGCCGGTGGACGTGGCTGCCGGACCTGGCGCCACCACCACCTTGCCGCCACGAGCCACCACTACCTTGCTGCCACGAGCCAACCACCTTGCCGCCACGAGCCTCGACATCCCCGTACTTTGATTTTTTATTGAGGTTGTGTTTTTTTTTAAGGTCAAGGGCAATATTGTAACTTCAATATAAGTTTGTGGGCTTTATGTGGAGATTTGCGGGCGATGTTTAGCAATCCACAAAAAAAAACTCGGATCTTTTGGCTTGCTTGCTTCCTTACCTACACCTCATCTGAAAGAACTAGGCATGTAGGTGGAAGGGTTATGTTTTTTTTAGTTTACAAGGAACAACCACAACATGAGACGCCATTGTAACTGTAACCTGGAATAAAGAATTGAATCTTCAACAGAGTCCATCAGACATGCCGCTCAAACAGAGGCTCACCAAGCCAAAACCCCAAAGCACCATCTTAAACCAAATTATACAACAGGTAACCCCAAATTCACGAAGTAATGTCACAAATGATACAACACCTAATCCAAAATTCAGGAAGAAATGTGACGCCTAATCCACAACCGAGCCGTAATGCTTTCTAACAACCCACAACACCATTAAAACCGCAAGCTCGGAACCAGAAAGACAAGGAAAACACGAACAACTGACGTGGTGCAAACGAGCTGGCTTAATGCGAACAAGTGGCAGCAAACAGACACATCACCAAGTAAGGGTATAAACGGGAAGGTATTAAAACTAAGCTACAGTACCACGAAATGAACAACAATATAGCTACTTATATTTTAGGGGTTAGGGATGTATCAAATGTCTAAAGCCTAAAGTGTATATACGTGAAAGGGTGGGATGGATTTTGTGCTTAAAATTCCGTTTGTAATGCGAATTTCAGTTTTAAGTAGGCCAAAATTAGATCCAAATCGAAAATCTAAATTTTTAATTTTTTTCAATCCAATCAAAATCGAATTATGAAAAAAAAAACCAATTACTTTCAATCCTACAAATAAAAAGATCAATCGATCTGTCATAAGAAATTCATTATTTCCACCCAAATTTACGGTACGATACTCATAAATATTCATTATTCCCACCCAAATTTAGGCAAGATACTCATAAAAGTGTATGTAATTTCAATGCAATAGGTTTTGTATCTTCTTGAAATTCAAATTAGTTTATCAATATAAATAATTAAAACAAACACATGTCGATTCTTGGTATAATATTTACCCTCTAAAACTCCCCATGTATTACCAAAATGAAAAAAAAAATTAATATATTGTTGTACTATAAAATTATTCCAAATTAGACCTATTAACTAATTTAAAACATCATTTTAAATAATTATTTCAAACACCTCTAAACAAAACTTATTTACACTTATTTTTTACTTTTATATATACAAATGGCAATTACTTACTGAGAATTCACTGCGTATATATTATCACGTACAAATGAAGGACATACGGAGATTGAATATTGTATGAAATAATATTATGTTCGACAACTACTATCACATGTTTAATTCTAAGGAAATGTAAAATCTTATTCAAAATTTTGAAAGTACGTTATAAAATAAATAAATTTCTTAAAATTCTCTTTTTGCCGACACTTGATTGTGGTAAACTCTCTCTATATATATATTAGAAGACACACATGACATAGGACAAGTTGCATTTCTTGATGCATCTTTAATTTGTTATTTGTTATTTTTTTTTTTGGTAAATATCTACTTGTAAACTTTTAAAGCAGTAACTAAAAATGATTATTTTTTTATCCCATAGTAAAAAATTATAATATATATATATATAGATAGATAGGATCATGTGAACACATTCTTTATGTGAGAACCTAGCATATGTGAGGACATAATACAACCGTTGGATCAATTGCATCCAATGGCTATTATTTATCAAACATAATTTCAAAAACAAAATTCCAGCTTTTTCTCTCTCCTCCTTCATTTTGATGCGTCTTTCTCTCTGCTATTTGCTCTTATTCTTCTTCAAACTTCATAACTTCTTCATCAAGGTGAGTACATCTTTTATACTTTCGTTTTTTTCAATCATTTTTATCTCACATTCAGTTACATTCTTACATTTTTTTCGTTTTTTTGGAAACCTAGATATCACTGCTTATTTGTGCTATTACGTTGATTTTAGTTTGATTTTAGGTTTATTTGAATAATTATTAAGTTGATTTTAGTTTTATTTTAGTTTTATTTGAGTAATTATTTTTTATTTGTGTTTTTACCTTGATTTTTGTTTGATTTTTCGGCTTTATTTCTTCAATTGTGTTTGATTTTTTTGGTTAATTGTATCAGTTTGTGCTCGATTATTTCAGCTTAATTTTATCAGTTTGTGTTTGATTTTTTCAATTTCTTCATCAATTTTCTGAAATTTTTGTGTTCGATTTCGTTTTCATACATGTATTCTGAGAAGATGGCATAATTGTTTCAGCAACTCGACCTAAATTGTTAAAGTTGTCTTCTTCCTGATTAAGCTCTTTCAGATTAGTTAACCTACCCTTGGCATAATCTGTTTGGTTTTACTGGTGTTTGTAGATGATTTAACTCCCTCAACTGTAAACTTGAGCACTTTTGGCAGAATTCTACTGTTTGATTCCTAAACTAGATTATACTCCTATGTATAATAATTAAATTGATACATAACCATCATCTATATTAACTTTTTAGTTTGATTTTAGTTTATTTGCCTAATTATTAACTTGATTTTAGTTTGATTTTTCCTTTGTTTTAGTAAGCTTACATTTTTTTCGATTTTTTTTTATAATTGTAGAATTGTTCCGTGCTATGGATTCTTCGGTTGTTATGGATTCTACTAATGCTATGGATTCTACCAATGCTAAAGATTCCACGGTTGTACCTTTGGCAAGGAAAATGTATGTGTTTTTTTATTTGCTCATTTTATGTTTTCTTGGTCAGTAAAATAGTTATTGTTTTGTTAAAACTTGCTCATTTTATGTTTTGTTGCTCATTTATGATATATCAGGTTTTTGATTTTGTAAAGCATATCTGATGAAATGTATGTTCTCTTTAGAGTTGCAGTCAATTTGTGAAGTTTGATAATTTGGTACAAAGTTTATTATAGAGGTCAAGTGTTGTAACTTTGTTTGTTGGTTCAACTATGTAATTTTAGACTTGAAAATCTTCAAATATAATCTTTTGTCTCTGTTTGAATGGCATCATTTCCTGCTTATATTGAGTTTTTGGTCTATGCTTTAATAATAGCTATGAAAATTAAGTGTCAAGTATTAAAGGTGAACCACACTAGGTCCTTTCCCTGTGTCTTGTTATAATTTCAACAAATTCCAGCTGCATAGAAAAACTGGAATGTGAGGCTGTATAATATTGATGAGTTGTTGCAGAAGTTGAGGGAAACAATGCTCTGGTAAAGGATTCATGGTTATGCTATGGTACATTATTTGTGCTTAGTAGTTTTAACTCTTTCAAGTTGTCAATAAGTGTTAGATTTGATCTGTTGTTTTAATTTCTTAACTATTTGATCTTCTGTTTTATCTCTACTTCTGTGTGGAGTTTGAGCATCTGCTTAACTCAATTAACTTTAATCAGTTTTTAATTTTTTTTAATGCTTCCAATGTTTCTGAGTGATTTTGGCAATGATGAACTAATATATATATATATATATATCCGCATAACAAGGGCAGTAAGGTGCTGATTTGGGGATTTGGAAAATATAATTTTACTTGAGATGTATTACGGAGTATTATCTAATTAAATATATTGAATTAGTATTCAAGTCTGTAAGATGCATGAGTATTAATTTGCTAGTATTACCCATTTACTTTTTCTTTTGGTTATACTGATAATTTGCATGATAATTAAAGACTCAAAACTTGGTTTTTGTCCTCCTTTGCTTTGTATTTGCATGAATTTTCAATTATACAAATTTTCTCTATGTATTCTGCTCACTTTAATTTCATTATATATGAGCAGGAAATACATTGACGGTAATGGTTCCTCTGTATCGTTTACTAAGTAAAATTTGTGGCTTTCTATTTTTAATAACTTGTACAATCTACTGAATGTTGGCGATCTAGTTATCTTTTCAAAAATTAATATTAATTCTTTGCTCATTTGTTAGATGAGCAACCAATTCAATGATCATTTATCAAATGAGCAAATAATACTTTGCTCATTTATCAAATGAGCAAATAATTCTTGCTAATTTGTCAAATGAGCAAACAATTATTTGCTCATTTGTCAACTTATAGGCCATGTTCCTCTCATCTGACTATCATAGATGTCCTTTTCACTAACGTTATAGAATTTCTAAGGGAATTGAACCCTCCATGCTTTGATAGTTGCAAATACTAAAATATTTATTTGCTCATTTGTCAAATGAGTAATGTGATTCTGTAGTTTCATTTTATTGCTTCATTTTTTTTTTTCTCTTTCTCCTTACACTTTTGATTTGTTTGCAGGTCATAATCATTGAAAAATTTCGTTCGAAGTATAGCCACTCAATTATTTCAAGTGAAGTAAATACTATTGAATCAAACAAATTGGTCAAAAGAAAAAAAAAAAGGTTGAAGAAAGCTGGTGTTGCAACTTAAGAAAGCTAGTTGTCAATGATATGATCTTAGTAGCATCCCCAAGGGGAAGCAATCCAAGAGCATTCACGGTAGAGAAGACTGAAGTTGATATGCTTTTTATTGGTTACTATTTTGATGTTAGTTACTATTTGTGTCCTTGTCTGCATAAGACAAGTTGATTTTAGGAAGAATCACATTTTGGCAATTGTATATTAGGGAAGGAGGGCAAATTAGGAGGTTAGGCAATTGTTCTTATGATGTTCTTAGGATTTGTATAGAACGGTATTAGTATTAGTTTTTATGATGTTCTCAATGGCACAAATGTGTTTGTGTTAATCTTGTTCTTATAACATTTGGTATGTTAATGTAATGGTAAATATTTTCTAAAAGTTGATCTTTCTTTATTGATATTTACAAAAAATTACAGGTTATAGAATTGCAAAACAATTCTTTGCTCATTTATCAAATGAGCAAACTATTTAATGCTCATTTGTCAAATGAGCAAATAATTCTTGCTCATTTTGTCAAAAATTAATATTTATTTTACTAATTTGTCAAATGAGCAAATAATTTGTCAAAATGAGCAATTGTTTTTTTGCTCATTTGTCAAATGAGCAAAAAAATTCAATGCTCCTTTGTTAAATAAGCAATCTATTTAATGCTCATTTGTCAAATGAACAAATGATTCTTGCTCATTTTGTCAAAAGTTAATGCTCATTTGTGAGTGTGTTTGAATGTTTTAAATACATTAGGCTATTAGCTCAAAGGGTGGAGCATTGTGCAAATGCACAAAAGATGTGGGTTCGAATCCCACGTGGGTTCATTTATGTAATGTGGATACAGAAGTTTGTATGAGAGTTTAATTGTAACAAAGTTTATATAGTTGTAAGTCATTTCAAACCATTTTTTTGCTCGTATAATTTAGTATGAATTTGATTTTTTTTTTTTAATTAATTTTGTTTATAGAGATAACCTATGTAGGAATTGAACCTACATCCCCTATGCATTTGCATAGTGCTCTACCAATTGAGCTAATAGGTTTTATCATATGTTTAAATCATTTTTCTATGCTATAAATTTTTAATCAGCTCATTTGATAAATCAACAAAGAATTGTTTGCTCATTTGATAAAATAGACAAAGAATTGTTAGTAAAGATTTGTTTGCTCGTCTGATAAATGAGCAAAGAATTATGTGCTTATTTGATAAATGAGCAAAGAATTGTTTGCTAATTTTGTATATGCACAAGGAATTTTTGCTCATTTGACGAAATGAACAAAGAATTGTTTGCTCGTTTGATAAATGAACAAAGAATTATTTGCTTGTTTGGTAAATGAAAAAAGAATTGTTTTCTCATTTGATAAATGAACAAAGAATTGTTTGCTCATTTTGACAAAATGAACAAAGAATTGTTGCTCATTTGATAAATGAACAAAGAATTGTTTGCTCATTTGATAAATGAGGAAAGAATTATTTGCTCATTTGATAAATGAGCAAAGAACTGTTTGTTCATTTGATAAATAAGCAAAGAATTGTTTGGCTCATTTGATATATGACCTAGGAATTTTTGCTCATTTTATTTTGCTCATTTTATTTCTACTTTATTACTTTTCATATTTAGTTTGCTCATTTTAATTATGTTTGCTCATTTTACATATCTTCTGTTGAATTTATCAAATTTATAACATTAAGGTTGAATGATATGACAATATATATATATATATATATATATATATTCAAATTAAGAACATTCAATAAACGATTTCACGAAAATTAGGTTTAATTAACGTAAAAGTAACATGCAATAGGAAATTTTTAATGAAAATCCTAAATTGAGAACACTCAACTAAAAAAATCTAGCAAAAATCATAATGTCAAACAAATAACCAAAATAAGAGCATTCAAATTCGAAATTTTCCAGAACACTAAAATTTGATAATTAGAACATCAAATTCAAAAATTTTGATGAAAATACTAAATTTAGATAATTCAATTCAAAAATTATAATGAAAAACCAAAATTAAGGGCATGATATTCGAAAATTACTTACCAAAATTATGTATAAGTGAACAAGAGGAGAGAGAAAGTATCGATCCTTGAAGCTTCAAGGCATTGATGTTCCACCTTCAACTTTGGAGAGAGAGAAATAATCTGGGTATTTTTTTCTGGAGAGAGAAAGAGGTTATGCATGATGTTGGGTTTGGGTGGGTTTTGTTATGTTGCAAATTACAATTTTGCCATTATTATGTGAACAATCTCAGCAGTTGGATTTTGTAGTATCTAATGGTTGTGATTAGTTCTCATATACAATAGTGTTTTCACATAAAGACCTATTCTCACCGGATCCCTCCCCTATATATATACGTTCTTAAAAGTTCGACTCACTTACTATTCATGTGGTCAAAATAAAATAACTTTCACCCCTACTGATAAAATTTTCAAATATCAACTTTTAAAAAAATTTACTTATACATAGCCGAAGTTATTGGTCAAAGATGTTCATTGGAGACCGTGTAAATGCAAAGTGAGTCGAACTTTCAGGAACGGAGGGAGTATATATATATATATATATATATATATATATATATATATATATATATATATATATATACACACACACTCACACACACACACAAATAATATGATCTAACAGCTCTCATTACATGCTTCATTAATGGCAAAAATTGTAAATATAAGAACTTTATTTTCCCTATATTTTACCTCTCTTCCCCGTGTCTTCCCTCTGTGTTCTATCAATGGTTAGAAGATCAATGACAACTACAGTCAGTTTGCCGCGAAGCATAGGAAGAAAAGAGGGGAATTGAATCTGAACTGAAAGTTACATATGCATAATTTCTTAAAGTGATGTGCATTATTCCTATGAAAAATGCGCATATTTTTTTAATGATATGTGCATTTTTATTCAGTTAAATGTGTAAATCATTTGTACTAAAGCTGCATATATTTTGAATAAATTGTGCATATAGTTGAATTTTTTCCACATGAGCTAAAGTAAGTTTATATGCGATTAAAAAACTTCAGTCGATTGATTAATTGATGATTTCCACTACAATCCATCTTTGAAAAGTTATAATATGGATCATTTTCAAGGTAAGACATATACATTTCAAATGGGTGTGCATAATATTTGACGCTACGAAATCGGGAATGCAATTTGATGTGTGAGTGTATACGTTGAACCCGCCTCAGTATCGAGGCCTATAATTCATTGCTTACTGTTGTGTTTGCAAGATGTTTATGACCATAATTAAATTCTCATTTCTAAAGTTGAAAGTTAGAACTCAAAACAAGTGTTAATGGAGGACAGAGAAAGTTTACCGCACTGGAGAGGAAAAACTTGGAAAAATAAAAGTGAAAATTAATGTGCATAATTTTTTTACTGAATGTGCATAATTTTTGTGCTAAATGTGCATTTTGCGCAATGGAAATGTGAATCGTTAGATTTATTTGTACGATCAAGATCCTTCTCATTTTAAAATCCTTCTCATTGGAATTTGCTAGAATGAGAAATGAGAAAGCTAATAATATCCTAACACACCTCATTGTCAAAATATGAGAAAGTTAAGAATAAAAAGAGGAGGGAATTTGAATTATATATATATAGTGTTGTTTGATTAATATTTTTGATGTTTCTTAATAAGGCATTTATAAATAAGTCTTTACTCATGTAGTCACACAAAATTTTGAGTATTTTTAACTAAGGGAGAAGTAAACTATAATCTAGGTTTTCACGTTGAAATAATGGCGGAGGCTATAAAATCATGGGTAATGCATATACAATTAATGATAGAAATTTCATTACACTTGTAGAGGGGTTGAAAAAAACAAATATCCATGGTTTTGATTTGAAATCTTATGAAATAATAGTAATTAAGTTAAGGTTTTTGTAAAATCATTCTGTAATTTCCCTAACTAATATTATTATTTATTTTGTTTGAGATGGTTTTTTTCAAAAAAAAAATTGTAAAGACATAATACATGATACTTCGAAATATGAGATAAAACATAGCGAAATAGTAAAGATAAAAGAATTTTTAGCTCACAAATTCTTCCATAAGGCCGATTATTTATTAACTTATTGTAAGACAATTAAAGTTACTTTAAAATATTTAAAGTTACTTACGTACTACTTCCTCTGTTTCATAATGTTAGTCCCATTTACGTATATCGATACAAAACTTTAATTGCAAATATTTTTAATCTCACACTACCAAAAATTATAAAAATTAGATATCAATAATGTACTCATCAAGACGAATAAAACTAGATCTCATTTGACTATATTTGTTTTTATATATAAAGAGAAATTTAAAAGATTCCCTCTAATTTTTAATACTTAAAAGATTCTAAATGGGACTAATATTATGAAACGGAATGAGTATATATAAAAGTTACTATTTTCTCAACATAAATTTTATCCTTATAAAACACTCATAAAGTATTAGATTATTCATGCATATTAGCCTTTGTAACATGTATCCATTAGAAAATACACATTGAAATACTATAAATTAATATTTACTCTTAAATGGGTAAAGTTACCATAAAATAAAATTGTTAAAGTTGTTCTCAGATTGACCTTCTTTCAATAAAAATAAATTAACAAAAGTCCGCCTTACACAAGACTTATTAATTTTAGATTTGTCCAACAATGTGCATGCTCTAATGAAATCCAAATCATAACGCATTTAGCTTTAATTTATTATTTTATTTTTGTCTAAAAAATAAATAAATACATTGAACTTTTGCTTTGCTTCATAATAGAAATTTTGACAATTTACTCTTTATATTTGATATGTATATTTTATCAAATTTTATTTATTAGATATAGTTGTTATATTTTTACAAAAAAGTGAGCTTGTCGTGCGTGGCAAGGAGCCTAAACTAGCTAGTTTACACTAGTTTTGATGTCAAGATCCGGAGGGAGAGAAGTAAAAATGAGGGATACATTTTCTTTTATATAGATAAGACATAGGACAAAGTGATAGAAGGGAAAGAAAATGAAGAATTCAATTTTCCTTCTCCTTTTAATAAACCAACAAGTATAGTTTCATTATTTGATAGACTTCAAAGGAATATTGAAGGTCATTTTTCTTTGAAAAATTATTCCGGATACCTTTAAGGATTTTAAAAAATGCGTGTACCCTTGAAAAGTTTTGAATGAACGATGTACTCTGACAAATGATGGTTATGTACTAACCATCCTTAATGCCTAACACCGTTAAGAATCTGTTAACTTTATGTCTCAAAATAGACTAGATACATTAACACTTTCATTCCAACTTTTCCCAGTCTATAATGTTGTGTAAAAGTCTACAAAAGTCATGCACTTTGCACTTAAGAGACAAAATGAGGTATCCTATTATTATTTGTTAATCATTCACTTCTTAAAAAAAATGTGTCTTTTATAACGAAAATCTAACGGTATTAATCATTAATGTTGTTTCATACATAAATATCATTTTTTAGGGGTACATTGTTCATTTAAAACTTTCCATGAATACACGGTGCATTTTTTAAAACCTCGTAGTATACAAAACAAATTTCCTTTTTCTTTTCTTTCGCCTCTTTACTGTTTCCTCTTTTTACTTCCCCTCTCTTTCCCGTTTCCCCTTGATATTTTGTTATTCGAACGTAGTGTTATTGATGTTTATGTAGATGGGTGTTTCTTTCGTTTGTATTATTCTTTTCTCATTAAGTTTTAGCTTATGTAAATGTGTTATATTTGAATTTTGACTTGTAAATTTTACACCTTTATTCTGGTTTATATGAGACGGTGGAGATCTAAGCAATTTGAATTAGACTAATACTTTCCTCGCTTTTAAATCATGGTCACCTTTTGAATTTTGGTTTTATTAACAAAATCCAAGGACTCAATATAGATTTTGTTAGTTTGTGAATTGGACCAAAATCTGAAGGTTAACCATTATTTCGATTCTAATTTATACGCTAAAAAATAATAAATTAACGTGGGGTTTTGATTTCATATTCTTTTCGAAACATTAACTTCTTACAATTTTTTACATATACCTAACTAAAAATATTCATATTCATAGTTCATTGACAAGTTTGAAAAGGTGAAGTATAACAGATGAAACTCTACAAAATGAAAATCCGAAATTATAGTGATCCTTGTTCGGTAGCTGGGACTTTGTCTGCCAATGTAGTTTGGGAATTGGGAGAACTGAGGTCTTTTTTATCTCTGTTGAAGGTTGGAAGTAATGCAGCAAGTCATATAGATACCGTATTGAAGTCGGTATACACTCAATTCATGCCTGTTAGAAAGTAGCAATGCATTAAGCCTGGTTTAATATTTCGTCGAAAACATCATCCTTGATGATTTTGTGAACATTTTCTTTGTTTTCCATATAATTTTAATTTGTCGAAAGCCTGATTTAATAATTTGTCGAAAAAACTCATCCTCTATATGGTTTAATGTTTCACCCTGATGACAAACAACTGAATTTTGTTTAGCATTATGACATTCCTTTGTCTTCTGATGTCATGATCCTATGAGCCTAAAAAAAAGAACGAAAAGAGGGGGGAAGGCGTAATAAATACATTATACTGCTTATTAATGAGTAAAACAATATGGATATATGTATTTTTGCACACAATATACATGGAAAGAAGCTGTTCCAGTCCTTTCCAGAAAAAAGAAAAACAGATGAAAGGAGCAACAGAACTACAGACTGAAGTGATCGTGTCGTGATCATATTCATATATAGATCAATTCTCTCTAATTCATATAGGTCTCTCAACCAAAACCTATAACAGCAAGTACAATGTAAAAATTGTTCTTGTGGGATAAATCTGGGCTTCAACAAAGTATCTGTAGTTCTATACAGGTTCTTTTGTTTCCTGCGAGGACACAAAATTTCCTTGTTTAAGACCACAAATGAATTGTTTTCTTGCTCCAATATAGTTACAATCAATAAATATGTAGCAGATGTTTATTTTGCCACTGAAGCTATGAAATTACTATGGGAGTTGCTCTCCGAATTGCAAGCATCTCTAGGATAATTATTAATCCAGAGAAAATAAGCGACAACAAGACTACAGTCTTCAACACTTCAGCTCTTCTGATACAAGTAGTCTATTCTTGAACAAAGTAGCCGACCTTCCGAAGAAGAAACCAAACCAATTGTCCATAGAGATCTTTGTTCTAATATCTAAGTGGCCATGTGTTTCATATAAATATTTAAGTGGGCCATGTCTTTCATATAAAGGCTAGATAACAACAGTTACACCGTTGTAAGTGTAGTGTTATTTAAGAAGACATGGCCAGAAAGAACGCAAAATTGAGGGAAATTTCAAAAGAACAAGTATTCTACATAATAGGGAACCCAGAAGATGCATACCATATCATATTTTGAGTGTCCTTAACATCTTCCTACAACCATGGAAGCTTGAAGGCGTCTTTCCACCATCCCTGTTTACAACCATTGGCAACCACACTGTCCAACCGCAAAATGATCTCAGCGAAGCTCGGTCTAACAGTAGGAACTCCACTCCAACATAGTTCGATCAATCTGTAATTGCATTCTGTTCAGATTATTTTGCACATATGAAGTGGGTTTTGGAGTAGAAATTCTGTAAAACAATATAGCCAATCACAATGCCAAGAGGTTGGTCTTGGTCTCAAAACCATGATATACTTTTGAAATATTTGAAAAGAAGAAACTCCAACACCATTACACCATCTAAAGTTCTACGGGTATACAGAAAAAGATATGAGAAATCATCTACTCAAACCAGAAAGGCGAGAGGTAAATAAGGAAATGTAGCCTTCACAAGAGTGGGTATGATACCTGAACCCCCACCATAAATTCAGCAGTCAAAGGCACTTTATGTAAGGGGAAAGTAATACTACAATGTCAGTTTTCATTTTGGTCTCTCTGCTCAGTATATACCTTGTAAGTAATAAACAACAATATAATTATAAGAATACTTGGAGGCATTTCTAGGTCAATTATAAATATTCTCAACAAGCAACAAGCAACAAGCAAGGACCAAAAAAAAAAAAAATCCACCAAAAGCATAGAGGTTTCCCTGAATATATTTAAAGAAGTGGGATAAGTGGATAACTATAGAACATTAATCAGCTTTCTCAATAATAACATTAAGGGGGTGTTTGGTATGGGTTTTTAATAGGGGTGGAAACGGAATCAGATTATCGTTTCCGTTAGAATATGTTTGGTTAATGAGTAAAGTAACAAATTCCGTTACTTGGTGGTAACCCATTCCACCAATTTGTTTCCGTGCAAAAACTGCGGAAACGATTCACGTTTCTTTCCTCAAACCCAAAAAAAAAACACAACTTTACTCTTTCTCTCTCCTCTCATTCCATAATTTTCCGAAAAATTCCCAAGTTTGATCGATCGAATCTCCAGATTTTGCTCAATTTGATCAATTTCCTAGCTCAAATCTCCATAAATCAATAATCTTAACCATCACAGGTTTGTTATTTATCAATTTTTTGTTAAATAAACCCTTGATTTTGAATTTGTGTTGAAATTTGTATAATTTTCAGTTTGATTGTTTGTATTTTTTATTTTTTATTTTTTATTTTTATCCCAGATTGTTTGTAGTACATAGATTGCTATTTAATTTGCCTACTTTCGAGTTCATAATTCCTAGTTATTTCTGTCGTTCAATTTATAGGGTTAATACAATATCAATTTCGCCGCTTTTTGGTTTGAATTCTTTACTTGCTTGTTCGATTGAAATTTTCTTCTCTCTTTCTTAGGGTTTATATTTCTCAAATTTCGTTGATTTTCTGCTGAATTTGATGGTATATATTGCTATTATTTCCTATAATTGATGTGGTTAGATGGATTAGGGTTTAAGCAATGGTGCCCTGTTAAGAATTCTTCCCCTGTTAACAGCCACAATGCTTCTTCTGGTACTAAGCGGGTTGTTCCTATTGCTAAGCTAACTGATGATTGATGTTGCTCTTCTTCATTGTTGGCCCTAATTTGATAATCTTTGCTAACAGTCACATTAATTTACTGGTTATTTTGTGTTTTTCCCCCAATTTTTTCCTATGATTTTGGTTTATTTTTGATGGGGTGATTGTATAAATAGTTGGGATTTTTTTTTTGGGATTTCACTACAAGTTGCTTATTTAGAATTTTGATTTAGGTTGGTTAATTTGCTGGTTAATTTGCTTGTTATTTTGTGTTTTTGAAGGCTTGTTATTTAGAGATAATTTGCTTGCTTTTATGGTTAAGAATATTTGCTAGTCACTGATTCTGTTTGTGATACTAGTGTATATTGATACTAGTGTACATTTTTTTGGATTGTTTTTTCAAGGTTTTTACAATGCCTCAACTTGTGCATTCTATAGGGAAGAAAAGGCTAAAACAACTACAGGGTTATGTACATAAGGACACATGGTATGTGGTCAAATTTTTGCTTATTATCAGCACCACATCAACTACAAGCCAGGCAGTTTGGATATTGGAAATAAAATAAACACAGGGAGAAAAAGAATAATATATCATAGATAAAGCTAGAAGAAGACAAAGTTGATAAGAAACTAGCTAGTAAGTAGTAAGAATATCGATGTGTACAGCAAGACATCATGGCATATGTGGATGATTTGAATGATAGGGTTATCAAGAGGAGTCTTTTGCAGTACATCATGCCTTTCATATTGTCCTTAAGGTTGATTGCTTGCAACTGTGTTAATTTTTCATTCTCTTACTTTTCAGCCTTTTTAAAAATTGTATTTAAACTGTATGACCTAAATGTTGTGTCTTCAATTGGTCAGATAAAAGGGTGTTTGTAGGTTGATTGAGAATTTATGTGATGAATTGATGATTTGGTGTTAAGGAGATTAACCTGTTTCTGCTTTATAACCCAATGCAACTCAATTTTTGAGCGAAATGTTGGTAATGAACCATAAATGATAATGTGATCAACTCATATTCGAATAGTTTTACTATGGTTGATGCAGCTAAATGTAGGGGTATTGGTCTAGTAAAATTATGTTACTTGAAAATCCAGAAATAGAGTATTTCATTTGGTGATACTTTGTGCAGTTCAGTCTGAAAATAAGTAAAGAATATTTGCAAGCACCATCTCATAAAATAAGATAATTTCTAAACTCTCTAATTTTCTTCTTTTCTATAACTGTAGTGAGTTAGTGGAGATTGGGTGTAGTTTGGACAGAAAATTAGCAAAGAACAAAAGGCATTTTAATCTTATAATATATGCTGCATTTTAATCTTATAATATATGCTGAATTTCGCTCTTTGATATGCCAACTGTTATTTGCTGTTCTTGTTGTGTAAATTCTGATTCGGGAGGGGCATTTATATGGCTTGCTGCTAATGATGAAAAATGTGTGATTAATGATGTTTTTGATGTGCATTCCTGCTGTTAGTTGCTATGGTTACTATGATGATTTTTTTAAAATCTATTGTTGATGTTAGTTGCTAATATTAAACTTTGCATTTTCTACCCAACTAACCACTATTGCTGTATCAGAATTTTTTTTAAAAATTAGTCACTTTAGACTGTCTCATTAAATTGTTGCATTCGATCTTATATGGCAGACTCATAAGAAAGCTAAGGGGTTGTTTGGAGTTTCATTCATTCACTATGATACTCTTGTGGAAATATACGCAAAAGACAAAGCTACCAAAGATGCAAGTGAGTCGTTTGTTGATGCTATAGAAGATATGGACCAAGAGATTGACAAGCAATCATTGAATGTCGAGAGTGATGAAGAAGATGATGCAATTGATCTTCTTAAGAAGAAGTAGAAAGTTTTGTTCTGAGTTGTTGAAGCTAATGTTTCAATGAATTTTAAAAGCTTTTTAGTTTTTTAGAAAGCAAGAATTTCAATACTTTTATAATTATTAATTCATGTGACTTTACCTATATCTAGCATGTGACATTTTATGGTAATTAGTGTTGTTGTACATTGCATAATGTGTAGCAAAAATTAGCAAAAATAACCAAAAAATGAAAGGAAAACTATTTCTTTCCAAGTTATTTATGCCAAACAAGAGGAAACGGATTGATTGTAATTGATTACGTTTCCTTAGTGATACCAAACAATTAGTAAGGGTAACACTATATATTACCCTTTCCCTCCCTTATTTGTTTCCAATCCGTTACCTTTACTAATTTGATACCAAACGCCCCCTAAGGGAGAAGAGGCAACAAACTTCAACAGTCAGATAGATCACCAATACATCCACAATAATATATACTAAGACATTGATGTATTCAAAGTCAAATGGGGATAGAAACCATGTATAAAAAAGTTGACATCATCTCTCTTTGAAAATTAAGGTAACTAAAATTCCTAAGAGATCATGGCAGCATTTATCAAGTTGAAAATATAATAGACTAACAAAGAGACATATAAGGTTCCTTAGCTCAGAAGGTTCATATTTCACAAATCCAGCACTTCAGAAAATTCAGCCCTTTAAAAGAAAAAATTAGCTAAACAGTCAAGTCTCAGATCTTGCATGAAATAAACTTACTCTTTTAGTTCCGTTGGATAATTTTTCAACTTTTTAAATGGTGGTCTTTTCCCCTCCAAACACATATGTTGAATGGCTTCTTCTGCAGGCTTTGGGTGGAAAGGATGAACACCTTCAATCATCTAATAGGAAGGGATAAATGATATGAGTGAGCCAACAAGCAGTTCCAGATCAATTTACAAAAGCAGATAAGATCACATTATCAGATTATCCTGTTTCCTCTTTGAACATTCAGTCAGCTTTAAATCAAAATAAAGACACGAAGATCTTGGGATCAACACATATGGGGTTTGGTAAAGCCATCCTGTTGCTAAATTGGAACCAAGTCCTTTCTTTGTTCACCTAGGAACAAGTGTATAAACAGGTAGAGGACCTCACTTATACAATTGATGGTCCCCACAAACTAACGAATTTTCAATTTTGGTAAATTGTAAATTTTAACTATCAATAACATGTTTCTTTTGGCTTTAGAATATCAAATTTATCAAATACAGACATCAGGTGCAATGTTAAAACAAGCACACCCCAAGTGCAAGAAGAGGCTGATTTGCAAGAACATGAAACGCAATCAGCACCTGCATGGCCTTCACTTTTCAACTACAAACAGCCTCTGAAGTATACATTGCAATTCAAGATAGATAACAGATATTATTAAACTCACTTGACTCTACCGTAGGCAACAGCAGGCTACCTAGGGGACAAAATGACAAGCAAGAAGTATTTACATGAATACTGATGTATACTAACTGTGCAATAGCACATAAGGCTGGGACATTGCATCTGACCCACTTCAACTCGTTGCAAGAAGAGGTAGAAGGTAGCTTAACGATGTGAGATTAGGAGTGTGTGACCATAAGCTGGTGTAAAATTGACAAGATAAGTACCTCGTAAAGAATAATGGCAAAGGAGTATGCATCCACTCTCTTGTCAAAAATTTCATCTTTGTAGAGCTCAGGAGCTGTATATACACCTAAGATTACAAAAGAAATAGTTGCATAAGGAGAGAATAACCAGAAATTTCATTATTCCAGTCAAATCACTGAAAATGAGCATCTCATAAGAAATTTTTTTTGTAAAATAATAATAACCTAAGTTGTAGACAAGAAAATTTTCTATTTTGATTCATATAACTCAAGCTACTTGGCCTGTAAAAATTAAAACGGCCTTATCACACTCAAGAGAAGCTTTTATAGTTTTTTGTCTTTTACTGTATAATAAAAAATTGCAAGTGTTGACCTAATTTGCTAGGAAAATCCAATGCAGACTGTTTTGTCTTAATGCTACAACTTACTTGCATTACGAGTGGACGCTCTGGGGTCCGCTAATTTAAATTTATCAGCTGATATTTTTGACAATCGTACCAAACCAAATCCAGCTACCTTCAATTGTCCTCCACTATCGAGCAAAATATTTCTGGCACCTTATCATAATTTCAAATATTAAAAAATAAAATATCATCTTAGTGAATAATAGTAGGTGATCTTTTGCATTTGGTTGTCTTACTTGGGCATTAGTTCACAATGGACAACTGGATCAGGTTTGCACTCATGAAGGTAATTCATTCCCCTGAAAAGAAACACCACAATGAGGAGAGGACATAATGAAACTCTAAGCAACATGCAAGTTGCAAAACATCTTAAATTCTCAGCTTTTCTAAATTGTAGTTTCTTGTTATGAGGTATACCTTGCAATATCAAGTGCAAATTTTAATGATTTAGATGGTGATAAACGTCCTTTCTTTTGAAGATAGCATCCTAAATCACCCTGGGAAAAAAAAAAGAGAGAGAGAGAGAGAGAGAGAGAGAGAGAGAGAGAGAGAGAGAACATATACATATATCAATTTATAATAAATAGAAGAAAAATTGAAGAGAAAATATCAAGCCAATAGAGTCATTTCTCAAGATTGTCAACAGAGTCAATTCTCAAGATTGTCAACATTAAGTTGACACCTCTATTATAGAGACCAGGATCTTGTATCAGATTTTTACCCATCAATGATAGATCCTGCATGGCCTGCATCCCTGTGCCAACTCTATATAGGTTATGAGCAAGCATTTATAAACACAGAAGGGAAAGCATATATACTGGGATGCATGTTGGTAATTTGTCTTTCTGCATTTCTCTTTGTTTTTCCTGTCCAGCCTTAATCCTCCCCCTCTCCCAAGCCCAGGGACGAATATACGTAAAAAGGTTAACCAATAAAGTTCAGATCTTGAAAACTAACATTTCCTTTAACTCAATGATGAAAAAAACCACAGCTGCACCCTCGTTACAGTTTCTGGTACAATAGTGATGAGAAAACTTTTGTTTCCATTTTAACTCAATCAATCACTAATTTTAAAACAAGTTTGCCTTAAAGGAATGTTTTTTTCAGAAGCAGAGCAGAGTGACCCATTTCTGATGGTCTCAAAAATGATAATACAATTTTTCTTTTTCTTCTTTTTTTTCTTTTAATGAACTGGTGTCATTGGAGTTCTACCAAATTACCAATCTTTTTATGCAAATTTAATCTTAGAAAAGCTTATATTCACTCTGTGTATGCAGATGAATCAGGGCACTTAATAAAAAGATAATGATGTTCCAGGGGAAGTAAAGTTTTCAAATCCTGGGTACAATTGAGCTGAAAGACAAAAGTATAGTCCCATATTTGTTAATTAAAGGCCCCATATTATGTTTGCACGCATGAAGTGAAAGTAATCTTAAGATGGAAGGTGTACTAAGTGCACAAGAAAGTTTGGCTAGAGTGACTAAATCCATAAACTGGTATCAAAAAGGGAATCGATAGAGTGTACAGGCTGTACAGCACATCTCAACCATATAACTGTGTTCAGAGAATCCATGTATTCAAGTTCAAAAGTTATGCGGAGTAAGATGTAATTTGTTCCTCATAAGCTACTATCTACAAAAGACACTTGTGTCCTTCCCAAAGATCATCAACTTGACACTATTATGTATTACCGTACAGTAAATCATACAAAGAAGTGCAAGCCCATGAGATAAATCATAATTGGTAAATGAGTTTTTTTTAATGTTAGGACTGTGAAATCCAATTCCACAAAGATCCAAAATGCACTAAATGATTTTCTTATTTTAGAGCACACAGGAGAGATTATTGATTATAACTCTTCATAGCATAGAGCTTGGAAATTTTAAGACTTAATAAGCCAAGTTTCTGAGCCATGTAGTCCATGTTATGGAAAATTAACATTTAACTTTGACAAAGCCAAATATACAAATTAACAAGGGATTCGATTTTATTCAAGCCAACAGGTAATATCAATCCCCTGTGGTTTTTGTAGACTGCTTTCTATTCTTAATAACAATCAAGGAGATATATTGCTTTTTATAAGTCTAGAGTCTTTACACTCAAAAACTTCATTCCATCCAAATTACTCATTAATACTACATAAGAAACAAATTAGCGGTCCAAGGAATGCGTACACATTAATATCGGGAGTGATATCAAAGATACCTTTGGATGGAGTTCCACAACAATCATCATTGGGATATTTTGGGTTACAGCTCCAACAAACTGAATGATGTTAGGATGACGCACCTTTTCCAATAATGTCAACTCATTTTTGAAAGCATTTCTGCAAGGAATTTAACAAGAATAGAACACGGTCAGACATTAAATAGAATTGCAATGAGATCCTATCTATAACTAGCATAAAATGCAGAGATATAACTCATGAAGCAGCACAGAAGCAAAGTACAAGTTCACCATAATTCAATAGCTAATTTAGGATTTAAGATGATAAAGGATAAAAGGAAGGTGTATGAGCAACTGAGCAACGCTATCTAATTACCTGAACATGACAAAGCAATTCATGAAAGATTTAAATACCAAACAATGAGTGGTAGACTCCAAATATTAAGCATCCATGATAAATTACATAAATTCAGTAAAAAGATAAATTAAGATAATGTTTCAGAAAAATACATGCTTTCTGGATCAGAATAGCTCTCTTTATCAAGTATTTTTACAGCAACCTTGGTACCATTCCACTTAGCAATCTGATATACTCCCTGCAAAGTAGCATACAAGCACAAGCATCAATAAAATTGAGAGAAGAGCAAAAGGAGAAGAAACAACAAAACACACAAGCTTATCGGAAATGATCAAATGAAAGAGGTTGAATTGTTCAACAGCAAGGAATATTTCAACAGTTAACACTAAGGCTACCCCAATGAGACATAGCAGACATCTCAAGACCATGAAACAAGAATGAGTAAATTAACACCATGTAAATGCTTAGTAGGAAATATAAACAGAAATAGAGGGAAAAGACCATACCTTTGCAATACCATCAGATCTACGAACTTGAAGCTCAAGTGGATTAAGTTCGTATTCTGGGACTTCTTTAGAATTTGCAACTGCCATGGGAGTTTTCCTAGTTTTCTGTGATTACAAAGGGGGAAAATTAGCAAGTCAAGTTATAGTTGATACAGTGAGAAAAATAGAAAGAAGATTGGAAAACATGAGAAAGAGACTGGAATCATACTGGAACTTTTGCACCCCGAGCCTTCAGAATATTGTAAACATCCATATTTCCATAATACTTTGCATCAGCTGCTGCCTGTGGAGTTACAAACTCATTATGAGAACAGAATTATTTATATAATGGACTTGAAAAAGCAAGAAACGAAAACAAGAAGTTCAGAGAACAGTAAGGCACTAAAATTAACCACAGAAAAGCTACCAAAAATAAACACACAGAAGTTTCTTCAAAATTCAAATTTCCAACTATAATGCAACTAAGGCATTTAAAAATGTTATATAAATTGGCAGTCTCCTGAAGTAAAAAAAACTGAAAGGTAAACAAGGGACAACCATATTGACCCCATATGCAGTTTCAGAGCAGAGAGAATATGCAGCTCAAACATTAGTGAAGCTTCTTAGGGTAGCCTACATGTTGCAACAAAAAAGGGTTGGGTGATTGGGTCCAACTCTCTGAATTAGTAAGCATTGAATCAACACTAACAATAAGTATGCAGTGACAAAATTGAAGACTACTATAAGTTATAGGCTTAAAGCTGAAAGCTCCACCGAAATCCTCAGCAATGACACCCACCAAAATATTAGTCCATCTTTTGTCACAAGTAAGTCCAAATAAGCCACATTTATCCCAACTTTACTAGAGACCAAGAGAAAAATTGATCACTTAACTAAATATTAAGTTTTTGACTGGTGGATCCTTTTAAAAATAAAAATAATTCTAGCTAACTAATCCTGTAGCAGTGTAGCAACTACCAGCTGCAGGCGCTATGATCTCTTTTCATTTCTTCTCTTTCTTTTTACGGATTAAAACAAACTATATGGAAATTATTAACAAATTGTGTGTGCTCCTTGGGTGTTCACATGGTCCTAACACCATTTGTTACAAGAGATCCTTAGACATTCATATGGTACTAAACCTTACATCTGTAATAGTATTTTCATACAGATGCCTTACCCAAATAGCCCCTTACCTACTGACTAGCATTTCATATGAACACACAATTTTTCATGTTCTATTTCCTTTGTAAAGACGGACTTTGACCATGAGTATTCATTGGTGTATATATTAAAAAAAAAATGTGAAATCTCGTTAGATTAGTCTCTAATAGCTTAACACTATGACGCTCTTCTTTGGACCCCAACATCATAAGAAAAAAAGTTTCATAATAAAATCCGTAATCTAGCAGGAGTGTAGGACACTTACTAACCCATGTTTAGCATGAGCACATGATCCGAGTAACGAAGATGATACATTAATACTCACATTCTTCATCACTTTATTAAAGTGGTAAGTGGGGGCATACACTCATAAAAAATAAATATTCCTATCGTCACTCATCTTCACACTTCCCTAATACAATAAATGTCCCAAATTGTATTTCACATTTTCTATTCGAGTTAATTTCCCAACCTTTACTTATATTTCCCTCATCCATTTTTTGATATTTCAACTTTAACATGTCCTGCCCACCGCCAAATTCTATTGTAAAAAACCCAATGGAAGGAGTGATAATTTATTAGTTCTAATACTTCGTACTCGTATAATATAATATGATACACATAAATTTATAAGATTGTACAAGCTTTACATCCAAATTATTTATAATAATGGTATTTTTTTACAAAGTATTTTTTAATCATTTTCAATCGCAAACATTGTCTAGTTTCTTTCAAACTTCCTAATTTATGGTATGTTAAATTTAATGTAATAAAGCAGGTACATTTGTTTCGTGACATTCAAGACAAAAGCTAAGCATTTTACCAAATTAGAGCATACCACTTTGATCGGGCAAAATCGCAGCAAGCATCAAATATACAACTTCTACGTGGATCACATACGTCGGTATCCTAATCAACAGATACAAAGCAAAAGGGAAAGAGCGTATACCGTACTGCCCCAACGATCACGAGCATCGATATTCGCTCTCCGACTCAACAACAACTTAACAACCTCAACATTCCCTTCACAAGCAGCAATATGCAAAGCAGTCCTTCCATCCAAATCAATGCTATTAACATCAGTACCTCCATCCAACAAATCCTGAAGTCCTTTCAAATCTCCTGTACAAGCCATAAACAACAACTGCATCGTAGCATCCAGATTATCCGGCACCGTCAACGGCTCCTCCTTTACCGCGCTTCTCCGTATCGGATCGAGCGACGATTGCCGCCCGAAACTAAACCTCATTGTGTTTCTTTGAGGATCCATTGATGTCTGCCTTTTGAAGCTGAACCTCCCTGATTTTCTCAACGATCCTGTTGAGAATTGCCTCGATATTCCTCGCTTCAATTGTGCTGCCATCTCCATTTTTTCCGTTTTTACTTCTTTTTCTCCGATTTTGTAACCTAATTTCTCGCCGATTATCCCTCAAATAACCTTCAAAAAAGTCAAAAAAATCAGAATTATTGAAAGTGTCACAATCAAAATGCAATTGAAATTTGTGAATTATAATTCAACGCAGCAACAAATTAACCAAAATCCAGCAAAAAAAAAAAAAAGGATGAATAATTGCATACATTTTTACAGAAGATTATTGATGATGATGGAAAGAGAGAGAAAAGGAGAGATCGAGAGCTCGAGCAAGGAGCAAGAGCTCTCGAAAACGAGCATAGAAAGGCAGAAATGGGAAAGAAACGAGAGGAAGAAGATGATCCGAAGGAGACGGCGGAAGAAGAGAGAGAGAGAAAGAGGTGTGAAAATGGCGGAAAAAGGAAGGAAATGGAGGGAGGGAAGAGAAAAGAGGGGACAGATGAAAAAGAAGATGGTTTCCAACTAGCTTCTCCGAAAAGACCGTTATTTTTCTATGGTTTTCGATAAATGCTGTTCACTCGTACTCCGTATGACCGTATCATATTTTTATACTAATACTCGTCTACTCCTATTCTCCTACTGTTGCCATTTTCTCCTGCGTATCGCAATTGAGAGAATTCGACACTTTGTAATAGTTAATAAGTATTTATATTAGGGTTATTCTATTGATTTTTATCATCTCTCTTTTCTATGTACAATATATCAGTACATGAGTGTATCTATATGCCTTGTTGTGGCTTGTTTATCCAAAAATTTCTAACGTAGTACTTACATCTACTTTTCTTATACTCATATAAATTTCAAATTTTGATGTGCATTTAAGTACACTATTTTTATTTTGTACATCCAACAACTCTTTATGTATACATTCACCTTTTCTTATGTTTATACAAAAATTCTTGTACATACTTATGTCCATTATGTTTACACATTTGACACTTCCGAGATTTTCTATATTAAAGCATCCAAGAAATCTGCTCTATACATCCAAACTTTCTTTTATTATACAGATTATTAACAACAATCTAGTGAGGACATAAAATTTCATTATTATTACACATAAGAATTTATTATTGAACAATCATACTCTAAATATAAGTAAAACACATATATTAATTATGATACGGAGTAATGACTAATTGATACATATAATACTTCCTACCCTAGTTTGCTCACTTTATTATATAAGTCATTTCAATTTAATATATATATTTTAAGAAAATGACATGGACTTGGATCTTTCGCAATTTAAGTTGGTTAATTTTTTGTGGTTTGGTTAAGATTTGACAACCATATTTGTCTTTACGTAATTCTACAATTCTACGACCTAATGGGCCTATACACATGTGGTTTGTCAATTGGTACAACTGTGTATGTGTATCTTTGCTATAAGCATAACAAACTTAGGCAATTAGCATATTTAACAACATTATCAACTTATTATGACATATGAAATGAAATCATTATATTGTTTAATTATTATACTTATATGGGGACTATACTAACTAAGTGACTAGAACTTCCATATATAAGCGTATAATAAATTTTGAAAGTGGTGAAGGCATGGGACAACATGGATAATGTTGTTATATTGTGTCATGGATATAATAAATGGGGGTATGTAGCACAAATTATTGTTATGCAATTGTATGTATTAAAGGTTTCCTAAATGTTCTTGTTATTAAATAATCTTTCATTTATTTAAAGAATGCATTATCTTACGCATAAAAGTACATTAAAAATCAATTAAACATTTTGAAGTTTATGCTTATCCATGATTCATGTCTTACAATTAAAATGATAGTGATGAGATAGAAGACTAGAGCAATTAGCTCCAATTTTCAGGCGTGAGGTCAAGGGTTGAATCTTACCAAACTCATTCTAGGATGGATTTCCCTAAAATTCCCCCTTGTAGGATGAGCCTTTTCTTCACCATATACTTCATACTTTGTATTTAAAATGGTAGTGCTTAGAAGGTCTTGTACGTACCCTTGTAAAGTTGTAATAATCATACTCTAACATTTTGTTCAATACTCATATCATATTTGAACATCCTTTATTTGAATACCTAATGCAAGGAGGGAAGGGGAGGGAATTGGAAGGATCCATTTTCCTTCCCCTTTTAATAAACCAAGCAAGTTCCTTTATTTTTGGAGAGGTTTGAAAGGAAAATGAAATGTAACCTCCTCCATCCCCTCACCTCTCTTTCCCCTCCCTCTTTTCCCTTCCCCTCCCTTTCCCTTCACTATTGTTATCCAAACAAAGTGTTAATATTTACTGTAATTATAAGAGTTTTACAAAGAACCTTATGGCTTTATTGGTTGGGCATGATTATGATTCAGGGTCCAATATGAATTCTTAAATTACTCTTTTCCAACTCTATATTATCATTTTTTTCTTATGTATGTAATCTACCCAATAAAACTAATACATAATCAATGATCAATTTGATTGATACAATTAAAGTGATGACTAGCTAGTAGAGTAGTAATTGCAAAATACATCCTTATCTATAGTCATATTACAATTAAACATCTCACATAAATGCAATACATATAAGCGACTACATCTTCAATATCCACTTGAATTTCATCATCATCTAGGTTTGGCACAAGTAGGAAATTCTTATAGTGGGTTCCTAAGTTAAATATGAGTTAGAATACTTTGGGCTTGAACCCTTATCCTACTCAATACCACATACGCAATTATGCATACCTTATAATCGTCTTGCAAGAATTCAAATAGAATTGTATACCAACATGACGATACATTTATACAAAAAATTTCTACCTCAAGCACACACAATGGAGCCTCATAAGTAATACACAACAGATCTTTAAATTCACACCAAACTTAAACATAGTTAGAACAATGTAATATACATTTTATATATACCACTTACCATTATCCATATAATGGCCAACAAGATCCTTAAATAATTTGGGTTTTAAAAAAGGAAGAAAAAGCCAAACCTTAGAACTATTAATTACATATATTTGATTGAACATGAATTGTCTTGATCACACTAGTGTCTACACACAACAAGACCCCATGGGCCCACCATACCTTAGAAACAAAATAGTTAGTGGCACGTATACATTGGAAATTTGGAATGGCTTATAATCTAAATAGGTAGCTTTACGTCTTGTTCATCGTCCGTGGCTATTTAGTGACTTAATTGACTTTGGGGACCCATTAATTAAAGTTTTTATAACTTTAATGATAAGTTTTATGAAATACGGAGTATAATGCAATATTATTGACTGTGTGGCCCATATTTTTCGTTGACTTGATTTGGCTAATTGGCTTTTGTATGTCATATCATTTTTATATTATGCGGATGCTAAGTTGCCAACTGTAGTTGGTATAGTAGAATCTAGTGGTATCTTATCTATGTCACTCCGTTTTTTGTTTTTTTTTTGGTTGGGAGGAGAGGACGTCTTATTAGATTGAAACTATCACAGGTGAATCCGACTCCAGTATATATGCATGACTAATTATTTTTTGGGTTTGTTTAATTCACCTTATTTTTGCTTATCTAATCTGATTTAGTTTGATTTGACTTTATGTGTACGTAAATTTATAAAAAAAAAAAATGTATAAGAAGGGTCTTGCTAGATTCGTAATAATGTGTATTTTATTAATATGTAATTTTCATAATTTTTTCATTACGAAGTTTAAGATATTTAGCGATAAAAAAAATGCACATAAAATGACGATGTGATTTGAACTTTTTTTTTTTTTTTTTTTTTTTATCTGATCTTATTTTTTCTAAAATAAGTAAAATTAAGCTGAACTAAACAAGGCTTTGTGGAGTGGGAAGAAATAGTAAGGGAAACCCATCCCTACGTTGTCTCTTAATTTTGTGCCATGGTTTAACTTTGGGTCAAATAGGGTTTTTTTTTTACGGGAATAATAATAATAATATTATTAATAAATAGTAATACTGCGTCTACGATAATAATATGTACGAAGTATATGTAAAGCAACAATTTTAGAGACTATAACCATAACTATTGTATATTCGGCATAGTTCACACTCCATTGCTTTAAGCTTGACGAGAATAATGATTTTCGATGTATTCACATCATTCCAAGTAGAAACCTTCGCAATCTGCGATGATGTTATAATTGTAGAGTTTATGACAAGCTCTAAACCCATATAAATCCAAATCAACTTCTCAATTATTATTCGAACCTAGAAATAAAATTCTCATTCATAGATGAGAATCAAAATCCTTGAAATTTGGAGAAAAAAAAACCAAAAAATTGAGAAAGATTCTCACAAAAGAGAGAACAAAACAAAAAACGGAATGAGACTATTTCCAAAAACTAAAACCCTAAAAGAGGATAAAGAAGAGAATTGAGAAAAGGGAGAAGAGGGGGCGGTTAAATAGGGTAAACAAAGGCTAATAGGTTAGTTAAAGGTAATAAGGTTAATGGAAAGGGAAAAAAAAATACTCTTTCCGTCTCTAATACAATTCTCTTATAAGGAAATGGCCCCACTATTTTTTTTTCATATATTCTCTCACTTGTTATGAATCTCACTTATACGGAAACAATTAAAATTTTCAACTCCCACCAACAAAAATAATGATCTCCAAACCCCATTAATTATAGTAAAAAATCATCCCACTACCGATTTTTACCTAGTATAAATATTAAAGTCGATAAGGAGTAAAAAGGCCAACTCCGTCGGTTAAACCGTGTCAACTAAATAGAAATGGAGAGAATATTAAAAATTCTCCGTCTGTGTTGGATAACTGGCTAGCGGTGTCATTAATGATACGCGTTACAACCCATTGAGTTTGGTGGTGTATTCGTAATTACTCAAAGTTAGAGGTAATGAATACGCCCAAGCTATTATTCATATTATATATACACACACACTCGGGATAAGGTACACTTAAGGATATTTTTTCCGTATTTAATATATTTCTGTTTATTTTTAAATTTTAAATGAGAAAAAAAAAAGCAAATAATAAAAAAATCATCCTTGAAATATACCCGCGTGCACATAAAAAGTTCTGATTATTCACGAGTCAACTGTTGATGCCAATTTTACCAAAGATTAACCGTAAAAAAGGTTGGATATTGTTAGAAATCATACTTGATTACTTGGGCTTTTCACCTTTCCTATTTTCTTTTTATGGGACAATTGGGTTTTTCTTTTTTTGGATAATTGGGCTTTAATTACACAACAATCCAGCCAAATAAATTCTTCAATGGTCCAAAATGGCAAAACCCCTGCAAAACAATAATAAACAAAATTTCCAAAACCACTTCAAAAAACCACATTTCTTCAACCAAAAAAAAAAAAAAGAAAAAAAAAACTTTGAACAATAAACGTTACGTATAAACTGTCTTCAACTCTTCAAACCAATATAGCCGAGCTTCAAGATTTCAATCATGGCGGCCTTGTCAACTCACCCTTCAACCAGTTTATTTTGCTCTTTAAAAAATGGGTTTAAGCAGGAATGTAAGGATTCCCATGCTTTCTCTTTCAAATCCCAGAATTTGAATTTGGGGTTTAATCCGAGAAAATGGAAGAACTTGGAGTTTGATGAAATGGTGGTATCTGCTACCAATGTTGATCAGATGGGCAGTGAGAGTAATTTTTCCTTCAATGGATCTTCTCCCTCCTCTCGATCAAAGTATGCCATTTTTTTTAATCATTAATATGTTTTCATTTCTTTCTGATATGAGCTTGCCCTTTTGCTTTGAGTTTTTTTAATCAATGTGAAATTGCCCCTTATAATTCTTGTAAATTGTATTGCAAATGGTAAATTAATTGATCATTAATCTGGGAAATTTTTTGATTTGGGTATTTTGCTGCATTTCAAGGTGGCTTAAGAGAGTATAAGAAATTTGACATGCTTGAGGTCTATGTTAAATTATTTTTCCAACTTCTTAATTCGATTAAGTACTCGTGTCAGATACTCTAAACTTGGACATGGGTATAAACTTAAATTATTCATTTTGGACTGGATTCCTGCGAATTTTTTGTAAGGTGGTGGCTTTTGACCCTTGGACATGTACCTGTGTTATAACCTCGCTAGGTCGAGTTGGAGTAACATAGGTTGTGATTTCAACTGATCATTGCATGTTACTGTTACCTAATAGCATCAAGGAAATTTGGGGATAATAGAGTGCAACTTGGTTTAAGATTTGGGGCTTTGGTCACATGAAGATTAAGGGAATATTACTTTCAAAATCTTTTAATTATCGAGCAGAATTCATTAGTTCTATGACTTTGAGGCTTTCTGCAATAGAAGTTATCTGCTTGCAATTATTATGGTTTTTGATAATAATATAATATATAGTCTTGATTTTGATGTGTGGAAATGAATTTAAAGGTGATTTAGAGTGCATATATTAACTGCATTTTGATCAACCTTGACATAGTTCATCGTTGGTATTCTTTTTGTTCTGTTTCCTCAAGGATTCAAAAGCTTTGTTATCTGTTTTTAAAGTCTAATGTTTGCATGTAGAAATATTGTATTATCAGATTTTGGTATGTGAGTAATATGACTTTTATACGTCACATGAGTAATTGTATTTGGACTGACATGAGTGATGAACAATAATTTATGTTTTTGTGTATTTCAAAGGTCGAGGAGGCACACAATATCAGTATTTGTTGGGGATGAAAGTGGAATGATAAATCGAATAGCAGGGGTCTTTGCTAGAAGGGGTTATAATATTGAATCCCTTGCTGTTGGGTTGAACAAAGACAAAGCTCTTTTCACTGTTGTTGTCACTGGAACTGATAAGGTGTTGCAGCAAGTGATGGAACAGCTTCAGAAACTTGTAAATGTTTTGAAGGTTGTCTTTCTTTCAGATAATGAGTAATGACTACTGTGAATTGATTTACGTCACCGACTTTCTTTTGGAATCTATCTGAAGTCCTTTTATATGTAGGTTGAAGATATATCCAAGGAGCCACAAGTAGAACGTGAATTAATGCTTGTAAAAGTCAGAGCCAATCAGAATAACCGAGCTGAGGTACTTAATGGCACTTTGTATATGTATCAGTACCCAACTTTGGAGAGTAGTGAATTTTGTTAGACTACCAGGTGACCCTGATTAGTTCTTGCTAAATTTTATGGGACAATTTTCTGCGTCTTATCTGCTGTCCGTCTTTCTTCTCAGTGAACTGTGCTCTATTTTTCTATAGCCACTTTTACTAATTTATCTTATTAATTAAACTTTTGTTGTTTCCTTGTTTTACTGCAGTTGATGTGGTTGGTGGACATCTTCCGTGCCAAAATTGTGGACATATCAGAAGAAAATCTAACAATGGAGGTGATAATTGGAAATATTGTGCAAGCAATGTTAACTTAATGATAATTGAAACTATGTATATTGTACTTGTACAGGTGTCTAAAAATTTTATATGGATTAAATGCTTTATATGCATTTTTCACTGGCTACTTCATTTGTCTAATGATGACGTCCTATGCACCTATTAAAAAAAAAAAAAAATTGTTTGGGGGAAGGGAAGGGGGGGGGGGGGAGAAGAGCATTTTAATCATGACTGTTCTACTTGTTCTGATCTTTTTTTTTTTTTTTCTTTTTTTGAAATTGTTTTACTTGTTCTGATCATTTCTGTTAGTTCAAATCATTTTATTTTACTCTTAATTTTTAGATTGAAGGAATGTATCTTTGATCATTCTTATGTACTATGTATGTTCAAATAACAGCCTGAGCCTCTGAGAGGTAATATGTTGTAAAAATGAAAAAAGATTATCCAAGAATTGTGGCGCCTTTTAAGGTATCATTACCAAATTCAGCATTGGGTGGATGACCATATGTGGTGCACAGACTGCATACACTGTTGGTTTTTTTTGGCTGAATGTGGTGTCATAACTTCGAGGAATAAGAAATTACATCTGATGCTTAGTATTGTTTGTGCATCCTGTTATCCATTTACAATTGTGTAATAATTCCTTACATGAAAATCATTAGAACATAGTCGTCTAACTAGCTCTTGACATTCTGACCTTTGAGCTGTATTTTTTTGGATTATATGTTCAACAAATCATTACTAAGCAAGTGGAAAATGCAGGTCACTGGAGACCCAGGCAAGTTGGTTGCAGTGCTAAGAAATCTTGTCAAGTTTGGAATCAAAGAGATTGCTCGTACTGGAAAGGTCTATTTTGATTCTTTCAAATTCTACGTTATACAACATAGGTCACTGTCATAGCTAGAAATTTTGTATCTTTTCCCTTGGATTATGCTTTAAACATTTTTTAATATGCTGTGAATTTCCTTTAAAATAGATCGCTCTTAGAAGGGAAAAATTGGGAGAGTCTGCTCCTTTCTGGCGTTTTTCTGCTGCTTCTTATCCTGATCTTGAAGAAACTGTGTCTGTGGATGCTCTTTCTGGAGTCTCAAGACAAGCACCTGATGATGGATCGTCAAATTCAACTGTGGAGGTGTGTTTCTTGACTGTTCACTGCTCTCACTTATTATATCAGGCAACTGAATACTAATCATTTTTATGCGGTCATAGTTTTTTAGTTTTCAGACTATTTACTGTTGTAATCTCAGTAGCTATGCTCTCTTTTACTTAAGTCACTAATGCTATGCTGCCAGGATAATGTGTCTAAATCCTACAATGAACTGTTGCCTGCTGATTAGCTGGAGAAACATCTTTTGAGTTGATTTCGAAGACTTTTTTATTATTATTTTATTTTACTTACGTATGTTGTTATAGAACAAAGTATCCAATCCCAGGAATGAAATATTAAGAGGAAACAGTAATCCTTCCAAATGAGAGTGTTTGTCCTAGTTGACTACCTGACTTTCACCCATATTAATGAAGAACAAAAGAACTAACAAGAATATATATTAGCAAAATTGTGCATTCAATTATTGAACTCATAGAAAGGGTGAGTAACTAGGGCAATCATTTTGAAACATCCCTAAAAATAAAATGAGGACAAAAACTTTGAAATGGAGGGAGTAAGAAAGATGGAAGGAACATATTGTATGGATTTCAATATCTTCAACTTTCTCTCTCTTATGGACAACCAAGATTTTGAATTATCTAGATATTTGAAGTGGATCTGTCCTATATCTCTTAATCTGGGATCACAGATCAGCCCAATTTGTTAGGCAGGGGTGCATTAAGTGATGCAGTAAGTGATGAAAGTCCTAGAAGCTAGCATAAGGTGTGATCCTGGGTACACATTGACCTGGGGTTTGCATTGACTTATTGAATTGACCTGGGTACCCAATTTGTTAGGCAGGGGTTTGCATTGACTTATTGAATTAAGTTAAAATAAAATGGCCACCAGGATCATGATTAATCTGTTTTGTGCCAAAGAAACATATTATCCAGCTACACATTGAACCTTTTTGTCTCTTCTTGACTTATACCTTTCTGAATGTGATTTGTAGTTCCAAAATTCATAGACACCATCAATTGCTGCAGGAGAATTATAATTGTGTTACAGTATATGTTCCTCATCTTGGTCCAAATATCTTCACTTTGATTTTTGACTGCTAGGATTACTATGGTTAGATATTCTCCTTGATCTGTTTTCCCCTTGAATATGTTTCACTGCAGGCTTCCCAAAAAAAGCCTCTTTGTCGTTCTAAGCTTTGTCATGGTATAGGCTACATGTCTTGACCTCTGTAAATTCATGGAATTGTTTGTGGCATTGTTGTGGTTGTGTTGTATTGCAAAATATCCTGTCTGCTTTTCTCATTGATTTTCAAAAGATTATACTAATGAAAGTCCATTGTTTTGATATTCTTTATCTTTTCTATATCCAGGGTGATGTTTATCCTGTAGAACCTTTTGATGGATTTGCAGTTCCTCAAGTCCTTGATGCTCACTGGGGTGTTTTGAATGATGAAGATGTAAGCAACCTTCTTTTTATCTCCCAGAAAGATTACTGCTCATTTATATTGCTTAATTTCTGGGGTTTCTGGTCACTTGAGTTGCATTAGTTATGTTGTTGTCATGATGATTTACAGCTTGAGCAAAATCCTCCTCCTTAGAGATTTGCTTCACTCTAAGCTAATTTGGCATTGACTTGCAGAAAAGTGAATGACACCCTGAACTGGAATGAATGAATTGAGTAAAATGGATGAGTAACTAAAAAAATTATGGAGGTGATGGTGATCTCTAACAAAAGAGGCATTTTGTGATAGCTGTTGGGTAATAAAAGTGAAGGACAACAGCATTTGACTTGAATGGTATTTAGAAAAGGAAAACATTTTGAAACTACCAAAGATTAATGTGATTTAGCTCCTTTTGTTGAGAAAATGCTGCAATAATTCTATGAAAGGTCTAAGTAAGAATCTGTTAGAACTATAGGGTTTATAGAGATGCAAAGAGATGGTTTTATGTAATATTTTCTTTGCTCCATTGTAAATAATAAAGTAGAATTGGAGTTTGCATAATATAATTAAGTGTAGTTGTACAATGTATAACAGTGTTTGAATAGGGCCTATAAAGGCATAGTGAGGGAAGAGAAAGTAAGGGAATTCATTTCCCTTTCTGGATATGACTTGAGGGAGTAAGAATGGAATTGGAGGGACCCGTATTTTCCCCCCTTATAAAAAACCAATTCTTCCAATGTTGGAAAGACTTAAAAGAAGATGCAAGCTCACGCCTTCTCTCCCTCCACCTCCCTTTCCTTCCATGATAGCTATCCAAATATGCTGTAAGAGACATTGACTCTTCTCATGATTTAATTCCATTTAAGCCTTATAGCAATCTACCCATATTTGTACATATGCTCTATAGTTTATCAAACTAACTATATTTTACATTTCTGACAGTCAGTTTGGTGGTGTATGATGCAATTTCATGTGTCATTTTATGCTTAGTGCTATGAAATAGTAAATTAAGAATCATCTAAAAGATATGAAAGCAGATAAGAGTGGAAAAGTACTACTTGTTATCTTTTTGAGTGGGTTATGAATTATAACTACATTCTTCTCAGTAGTATGTGAGTGATGCTGCTTGGAGTCATCTTATGTTTGGCTATGTTTATTCAGACGAGTGGGATGCGTTCACACACTCTATCGATGCTTGTCAATGACAAACCTGGGGTCCTTAATGTTGTCACAGGGGTTTTTGCTCGAAGGGGTTATAACATCCAGGTTTGTAGTGAATTCTTACTCTCTATCATGAAGATGCAATAGATTATGAAGCTACTAGCATATTTGATTGCCTTTTGGTCCTTGTTATCAGAGTTTAGCCGTGGGTCGTGCGGAAGGTGAGGGTCTATCTCGCATTACTACTGTTGTACCTGGTACAGATGAATCAATCAGCAAACTGGTGCAGCAAATTTACAAGCTGGTTGATATTCATGAGGTGAGGGTGTTTATTTAGTTGGCCTGCTTCTTTTGGTTGGTGGTTGTAACATTTGTAACTTTAATTTATTGGTGTCTTGCTATTATATGCAGTTGAGAACATGAACAGAATTTGTTGGGTTTTCATTGTGAATTGTTCTTATCATGGGTGTTATAGTTCTTGTTGTAATTATACTCATACAAATAGTTAGTGGTAGAAAAGTAAAATAAAAAGAATAGCTGGTGGAGAAATGTATATCATAAAAAGTGTGCTGGTGTTTGTTAAACTTTGATCTCAAGCTATATACACAATTGTTTGATTCATCTTCTATAACAGGAAATTTCTTTTCCGTTGATAGGAGAAAGATCATTCAGTGTTACCCTTCTAATAAGAAGTTGAGAACAAAAAATCAGGGAGATGTTTAATTAGTCCACTACAATCATTATTATATCTTCTCCATCTTAAAGGCCCTTAATGTAATGGAAGGTTACAGGAAAAAATTAAGACATGTTGTAGCAGGGAGATGGGGCAAACCTTTTTAACTACTTAAAATCAAATCTGGAAACTATAACTGTTATATGGTATTGGGATCACTCCAACATGTATTGGTTAATTACCACTGTTTGTCTCAATTTCTCATTCTGTCGTGAAGTAATGAAATCCTGAGGTGTATCAGTTTTAAGTCATTAATTGGGATATGATTTCTGATTCAGGTTAGAGATCTCACCCATTTACCTTTTGCTGAGCGGGAGTTGATGTTGATAAAGGTAGCTGTGAATACTGCTGCACGCCGTGAGGTCCTTGACATTGCCAGCATTTTTAGAGCAAAAGCTGTTGATGTATCTAGTCATACCATAACACTTGAGGTAACTATTGGGGAGATATTTTAGTGCTTATCCCATTATTCTTTTTTCCTAAATAATTTGTGCTTATAAGGACAACTGGTAGAAGTAAGCTCAGAGGCATCTGTAAGACTGTAACTCTGTATTTGTGGGATAGATGCACTGCATTCTTTTTGACCTCTTATATTATGATAGCTTATGCACTGAAATGAATTGCATTTTGATTGATCTTGCGGTGTTTATGCTTCGTATACATTATACTATTATTCACTTTACTAACTCTGATTCTAACTGTTGGGCTTCTTACTCCTAGCTCACTGGAGATATAAACAAGATGGTTGCACTTCAGAGATTGCTGGAACCCTTCGGTATCTGTGAGGTAGGATATACAAATATTCGACTATGTATAGATGCCATATATACAAGTATTGAATAGTGAGTTGTTTGCTTAATTTTCCTGACTTTGGTTTCAACAATACCATTACATCAAGCCTTTAAAAAGGCCCTCACCAAAGGTAGGATAAGAGGGACTCAGAGACTGAGTGGTGCATTGTTTCCTGATCCAAAATGCAATGAACATCTGCTGCTTGCATGAAAACACAGTGCAAGAAACTGAAGTCATTTTAATTTAGCTCACTATAATCCGTAAGGGACTGAGTAGTGAATCTATTGGCCACGTTAGGAATGGACATTTCCAATTCACCCTTCTTTCTGAGTTTGGTATATATCCGAATGTCAACCATCCCAAAATGTTGTTGCCATACTTGTCTTAACATATCATTCCTTCTTTAAAAAAAAATAAAATTCTGAATACCTGCTAATGTCAAACCTGGGATAAATGTTCTTCTACATTGTAGCTACTGTCATCATTACACATCTGATATACAAAGTATGTGACTTCAATTGCTTATTCTTTAATGGTACAGGTTGCACGAACAGGACGGGTGGCCTTGGTTCGAGAGTCTGGTGTGGACTCAAAATATCTCCGCGGATACTCGTTTCCATTGTAAGATTTCTGTCAACTGTCAAGACTACATTGTAGAAAGCCGGAGTGGATAATGAAAGTCTGTTTCTGCTTGCAAAAATTTTTTTGTACTCATTTTTTTTTTCCACACATCTTTGCAACTTTTGTTTCTCTAGTTATAGCTGTAGAGGAAAGTGTTTGAAATGCTGTACAATTTTGAATTACCCACTAGTATACCTTAGTAAGCTAGCTTTCTAAGCTAAGCAAGCCCGGTTCTCCGGGCACTACGGTAGGACGTGGATCGTTTAGAAATCGTTAAAATTCATAGTACCTAGATTGGCAGGAATGCCCATTTATGGGGTGGGGAGAAAGATCAAAGGTAAATGAGGCAAGTATAGTTTAAAATTCACTCCTTTCTCTCCCTAACTTCTCATTTTTCTCTTAAAATGATATACAAGTATGATAGGAGAAAAAAATTAACACTTCCTCTTATTTATTTATAACATTGTGATGTTTAGCACGATTTATACACTTTTCTTTAATCACATGTAATTTATATGTAAATATGATATGTGAAGTTTTGTTAGATTTCTTTCGATCTATTCTTTTACAATTTCAACTTTTAATTTTTTTTTTAATGTTATGTAATTAAAATATTCTTTTAAAATTTCAATTATTTTATTTTATTTTTTTTAAAATTGTTATGTATTAAAAATAATTGAGGTTTGTTAACTTGTGCTATGGGAAGCATATAACTCTCTCGCGTTGCAATATAAAAAAGGATTATTATTGTTATTGTTATTGTTATTGTTATTGTCATTGCACTTTCAACAACTTGTGCATTGCCTTGGCTTAGAAGACTTGTTTTATTGATACATGAATAAATAATAAGGGTATACTGGCCAAAGTAGCAACATGAAAAAGAATAAGAAAACATATTTGACTTAGCACAATCAGTTTCTAAGATGGTAAATTTAATTGCACGTCCAAAGATCAGGGGACATAGAAAGATCGTTCATACTCCAGAATTAATAGTCACTCACGAGCAACTGCTATAACTTGCTTTCCAACATTGCGACCAGTGAAAAGACCAATTAAAGCTCCAGGAGCAGCCTCTAGACCTTGAGCAATGTCTTCCACATATGAAATCTTGCCTGCCTTGATAAAAGGAAGGATCATCTCAAGGTACTTTGGATAAAGGTGATAGAAATCAGAAACTACAAATCCTTGCATTCGAATTCGTTTACTCACGATCACACTCAAGTTGTGAACACCATCAGATTGCTCTAGGTTATACTGTGAAATCATCCCGCAAGCGATGATTCTACCATGGAGTCTCATGTTAAGGAGGACAACGTCAAGCAGCTTCCCTCCAACATTTTCGAAGTAGATGTCTATACCCTCTGGAAAATACCTGTTTGGTTTTAGAAGAGAGCAAAGTTCGTTAGGAACATGTTATGCCTTTTTGTAAGGTTTGAAGAAGAGAACTCACTTAAGGAGAGAGATAAGGAAACTCCCTCAAATGATCCCATGAGATTTGATCCCTAGACCATAGAGAACTAAGGTGAGAAACGATGTCACTACTCTATCACCTCAACCTCTATGTATGACTGATAATTATAGTCGAAGGGGATACAAATTCTAATCACAAACCGTTTTTCAGAGAGGTAACATTATATTTAGCATTATTCTTTGTATTTAACTTCCTATATTTAATGAAAAACTTAAGCAACAAGAAAAGATTAGGATGATATAATTATTATATAAATTCTAAAATAGATCAATTGATTTGCATGATATTTATGTATGCTAGCTACCTCTTCAAGGCAAGATCCAAATCTTTTTCTTCCTTGTAATTGAAAGCTTGATCAAAGCCTAATTCGTTCTTTAAAAGGTGAACCTTTTGGTTGGTGCTAGCAGTACCAACAACATAGCAACCAGCTAACTTAGCAAATTGGCCAACTAGCTGACCAACAGCACCAGATGCTGCTGAGATAAATACACGATCTCCCTTCTTTGGAGATCCCACTTCATAAAACCCTGCATAAGCTGTCATACCAGGCATCCCTATGTTTTTCACATGAATCTATTAGTAATATTCTCATTAACAGTATGAAGTACATAGTATGTGATTAATTGCAAGTACAAAACACATTAAGAGGAATTGTAAATAACTTAATTGACACGTTTCGAATATCCATACATTGATCTCTTGGTAGTAGGCACTTGTAAAATAGTACCAAGTAGAAGGTAGAACTTATATACTATGGTAAGTTTGGTTTGTGTTTGAACTTTGAAATGAAGGAGAAATTTGGCGTTCCAAGTATGATTTATCAATTTGCAAAAGCTTTATGGGTTTGGGGTAATTAGAGAAAGAGGATTGGTTGGGGGTCGTGCTCCGGGCATTGGTTTAGGGAACGTGTTTAGGGTTGGTAATAGTCCATCTCTTATTTGCGTGATAAAATACTACGCATGTTATCTACCCTTAGGGTGGTTCAAGGATACCTATCGTACTCTAATAGTTAGACATGGTTTGATATAAATAGTACATCTGTTTCGCATTACTCACAATATTTACTAAAAATGATTGCTTCACATTACTTGCAACAAATTGATTTCTTTCCTTTGTTAGTAAATTTTTTTGTGCGAAATGACGAAATTACCCTTACTGTTTTTTAAAACATCCTAATGAAACTACAAATCTAATCTCATTAAACCCCAAGGTTAATTAATTTCACCCTTTCCACCAAATTCATTCCCCTTCATCTATATTCAACATCTTCATTCATAATCTTTCTCTCTCTTCCTTCATCATCAAATTTCTTCATCTTCTTCCTCATTCGCATTATTTTTCTCTCTCCTCCTCCAACCCAAATTTCTTCTTCTTCTTCCTCATCCCCATTTGTTTTCTCTCTCCTCCTGACCTCCTCCAACCCCATTCTCATGGTTTTTCAGATATGTGGATTTTCGTGGGTTCGGTGCATGGGTTAGTGGGTTTGCTGGGTTAGTGGGTTCGCAAGGTTCGGTGCTGTGTTCGTGGGTGGTACTGGGTTCGTGGGTGGCGCTGGGTTTGTGGGTGGTGCTGGCACTAGGTTCCTGGGTGGTGGTGGTGGGTGGTTTCGGTGCTACTAGGTGGTGCTGGCCGGTTATTTAATTTAATTTTGGTTGATTTTTTTTTTTTTTTTTTTTTTGGGTTGGATTAATACTTAAGTATATGCACTTATTTTTTAATAATCATGCTTAAGATCTTTTGCCTAAGAGTCTGCAAAACTCCTCTTTATTGCGAGTAATGCGAAACGAAGATAGTATATAAAACTCTTTGTACTCCCTTTTAATAAGTGTTACAGTTTGACTTTTTTCACTATGCACATGATGGTTTTGGCTTGATTAATTTACTAATATATAAAAACAAATGTTATTGTGTAATATATTGTTGGAATCGTTATAATGTATACTTTCATATTATAAAATTTCCTATGATTTTACTAACATATAATTAGATAAATTAATGGTTAAAGTCGTGTTTCGACATACGTGTTTGGTCAAACTGTAGCACTTATTAAAACACAGAATGAGTAATAAATATATCATGTCTTCAAAAGTGTTGTAGATTGGATATTTATAAGCATCCCAAGACAAGTGTCACGTAAATGTGGGCCGATAGGCTCATAGGATGAGTCATGATGCTAGAGGCAGCTATTGACATGACATGTAGTTTGGCTCCTTTACCGTTGATGTACTTGGGCTCCACGAACTTAACATTAGATTAACTTTCATATTCCTCGGACACAAACCAAAAATTAAGTTTGCTAATGTTACCATATACGGAGTACGATTCTCTATCCCTATCCCACTCCTTAATCCTTTCCGAACACGACAACACCTTATTAAGTATTTTTGACACATCAATTTAGAATAGGACTAAAGATAGAATATTACCAAGAATTCCAGTGTAGTATGACAAAGGAACATCAACATGGTGGATTTTGAATAGGCTGTTAGATGATGAAAGAAGACTGTATTCTTCCCACCTTGTAATTCCCCATACTAGATCGCCTTTCTTGTAGTTGGTGTGCTTGGAATCCAATACTTTGGCCACTGCGTATCCAGTCAATGGCTACAATATGTGTTTTAAAAACAAATTACTCGAATTTTTTTTAAGTACAGCTACAATATTTGTTTTAAAAACAAATTACTAAGAAACTGAAAATCTCTAACAAGCTACAAAGTAAACATGTCACGCTTTAAAACTTTGGCCCCTCCTAATTAGAGATCGATACAAAGTAAACATATCATGCTATAAAACTCTTTTCATGAGCGAACTCTTATAAAAAAATCTCTATTTTTCTGCGGATCCTCCAACATAGACTCTCTTTTCACGAGTATATATCTAATATATAAACAAAGTGACCATATGCAATAACGAGAAACTCTTAGTTGATATCTGATACCATGCATCATCTTGCAATATTAATATTGAAGTTAAAGAAAATACAAAAACTCATAAGGTAATAAGAAAAATTAACAATAGTGAGTGATGATGGTGAAACGTTACATACCGATCCAACAAGAGTCCTATGGGCAGCAGGCATGTTGTTGTCATCGTTAATAAGATTTCGAATGTAAGGATCACAAGAGATGTAGAGATTCTTCACAAGAATATCATTGTTAGAACATGATTCTGGAAGTTTAAGCTCAATCTTATTAGTCTTCACTTCCATGTCTGATTCCTTTGGAAAACGTTTGATTACATAATTCTTCAATATTACTTGCTTATTTCTTGCTTCATGATTTTCGTTCTCCATAATTTCTTGTTTTGGACAAGAATGGGTCTTTCCAACTTTGATTTATTTATATAGGCCAACTAAGTGGACCATGTTTAGCAGTTTAGCACCTCTATTTTGAATTTTGATCATGTATAAGTTCAAACCAATTCCCCGTAAAAAAAAAAAGGTGTTCAAACTAATTCTGTTTTTAATATACAGTTATATAATAATGACAATGATCCATCCTTTTTTTAATTAAAAAGAATATATATATATACACCTATAGATGCAAGATTGCAAGGTGCATCTTGAAATATTTTCTGCTCATTTAATTTTTTTTTGCTCAATTTAAAATCTTAAAATTAAAAAAAAAATAAAAATAAAAAATAAAAATAAAAATAAAAATTACCCTTAAGCGCATCTACCTCTAATATATTGGTTAAATTATTTAGTCTATCTTTGACAGTCACTTGACAAATTAAAATTTTTAGTAATAAGAAATCTAAGTAGTTTTCTTTTAGGTCAAGTTTTTCCCTATATATAATTTTTAGTAATAAAAAATTAAATTACGTAGTAGTTATTATACCCTTGTAATAATGTAACTTAGTAAGGATATTGAAACAATATATGAGGTATTGTCGTATTGAGGTGCAAATTTATTATGATTTCTTGATTAGGTCAAATTGCCTTCGCATGCTTTGATTATATTATCCGTGGAAACTTCCTTCACCTTTGTAGGCTACAATAGAATTTGATAATGCCAACTCCACTAGCTGAGATTTTCATAGTCTCGACTCTGCGTCATTGATGACTCCTCTCGCTAAAACTTTCATTTGATATTATATTAGAGTTTCGGTAAAACTTACTTCATTCGTTTTGCAATATCTGAGGGGGTGTTAAATACCGCCAACAAAATTGATCAAAATCGCCAATTAGTGTGAATGGACAACCAAGCCTTTAGTATTTCACCACTATCTTTCCTCTTGCCACCAATCACTGACACCTTGACACCACCGCCCTAATAGACGGCGACCACCACCATCCCCAATGACGACCCACCACCTTCCCTCGTTGGCGGGAAGGTGGTGGTATTTTTTTTTATTTCTAGCAATCGTACCAATCGGAGCCCAAAACCGGTTACCGGTCACGGTAATCAGTTTTGGGCTCCGGTTACCATGGAAATCGGTTACCAACCATGGTAACCGGAGCCCAAAACTGGTTACCGTGCGTGGTAACCGGAGCCTAAAATCGGTTACCGCGCACGGTAACCGATTTTGGGCTCTGGTTACCGCACATGGTAAACGGTTTTGGGCTCCAATTATCGCGGTTGCCCAAAATAAAAAAAAGCCGCCACCTTCCCGCCGGCGAGGGAAAGTGGTGGGTCGTCATAGAGGGGGATGTGGTGGGTCATTATAGAGGGTGATGTGGTGGGTCGCCGGTCAGGGTGGTGGTGGTCGTCGCTGGTTGGAAGGGATGGTGGGTTGCCGGGGAGGATAAGGGTGGGGTGGTGAAGTAGTAATTAAGGGCATGGTGGGTCGTTATAGAGGGTGATGTGGTGGGTCGCCGGTCAGGGTGGTGGTGGTCGTCGCCGGTCGGAAGGGATGGTGGGTCGCCGGGGAGGATAAGGGCGGGGTGGTGAAGTAGTAAGGGCATGGTTGTCCATTTACACCAAATGATGGCGGTGGTGATCATTTTTTATGACGGTGTTTAACAATCCACTATTTTAAATGCTCTTCATGTCACAAAGCTAAGAAAAAGTGTAGTGAGTTGATTTTATTGAATTGTTGAAGTTAAAAGTGAAGCTGGTGTATGGAAAAATGGTGCTTTTTGTGTTGTGTCAGGCTTGTGGCGATCTTTTAAATTGAAACCTATGCATGACCCTATCCATATGTCATGTCGTGCTAGCTGGCGTTTATAGTTTTTATTTTACTCCGTATTAAATTGGGGGAAAAAATAAGTGAGCCGACATTGGGAGGCCCGTCATGCTCGTGTTGAGTTTATGCCAAATTTGAAAAATAATGTCAATGCACGGCCAATGGCCTACCGGCTTGCCTCTCATGTCGTGCTAGGCTTGTGATAGGCTTGTGTCTGGTCAGATAATTTTTGTGTCATGTCTAACTGACTTTTGTGCTTACATGACCCATGTGCATCTCTAAGGGGAGCCTTAGGAGATACAACAAAAATAATTGGCCTAAACAATTAAAATATTTTAAAACTTTGATTTCAGTAAATATATAGATAAACACATATTTTTGTGAGAAAGTAGAGATAAAATTGGAATGTTGTGTATTTTATAAAAGAAACGTAAAAAATAAAGGGGAATAATAAAAACATCAATAACTTTATATTAAAGGCGAAATCAGAAATGACACTTGTCATTTTCTGGTTAAAAATTTCTCGCCTTTTTTTTTGTTTTTTTTTCCTCTCCAAATTTTAATGACATCCATTTTATAACCTACAATAATACTTATTTCCTTTTTGATAACGTATTTAATCCAATTATATCAATTAATTTTTTTTTTACATATATTCTAGTGTATATAGTAGGAAACTTTTAGTTACAAAAATACTAACATAGATTAAAATAAGGTATTGTAATGTATTGTAATATATTATTATCCAAGATTATAATAATATTATCATATTTTTTTCTCCAACTTTTATCATTTGACAATAAAATTTATTATAATTAAAAAAGAAAAATAATTTTGGTGGCATACTTTGTATAAATCTTAAAATTATATAAAACTTTTATGAGAACAACCGAACAAAATCATATATATTGGAAAATTCAATCTAATTACTATAAACATTTATGTGATTATTAAAATAAATAAATAAATAAATCAATTTAAAAACCCCTACTACTCACTAAAAATATATTTAAAAAAGTTGATTACGGAATACTAATTATCCTAAAGTAAAATGAATTCAACTAAATTTCATATAATGTTGGTCAAAGTGTGCCAACAAAGGGCAAATGTATATGAGTTTGTATATGGGTAGTAACCTAAGCTAATATTTTCATTCATTTATATAAGACCTTATAGCTTCTAATTTCTATTTTACTATTTCAATTCAATAACCTTTACGTATCTGGTATTAGTATAAATTAAAATTCAAGTTATTTTGTTAAAAATATTATTTTAAGATAAATTATTGTTGAATTAACACCATTATTTATAATTTATTTGTTGTAAACTGTAATTATGACCGTGCATAGCACGGGACTTAACCTAGTAAATAACAAAAATGAACGGTTGAACAAAGGGAGTATTTAATTCATTTATGCTTTAAATTCAAAAGTATCGTGAAAGCCCAAATTATGTTTTTTATTATGAAATTGTGTGTATATGCCACAATTAGTATTAGGTACTCATGGAGTACCTAGTATTGTACTCCAAGGCCCAGACCCAATCTAATAAATGGGATTAAAATCCAACTAACAAATTTAAATCATGTAAGACTAAATTTGACAAAATTACAACTTAGGAAAAGCAAATAACATGAAACTAACTTCGTATATAAAAAAAAGGTGGATGAAAAAAAATCAAATCATTTCATTTCTACTCCACTACTTTCACTTTCTCTATCTCCATTTGAACTAGTGTTGCAAAATTCTTCAATGGTGTCCATTAAAGGCCAAATTCGACTTCAAGATCATGTCCAAAACCAATATAAATTACCGAAATGTGCATCAAGAGAAGTAAGTATTTATTTAATTTTATAAGTTTTTTCGCAATTGTACATTTATAACATGAAATTTGCAATTAAAACATGCAAATATGGTAAACCAATTAAATGATAATGAAGAACTAGATGAAAGAATTGCATATTTAAATACAAAAATTGTAGATAAGTTTTTCTAAATCAAACCTATATTAATTTGCGAAAATATTTTTTTCGAACTAGATATAAGTGGAATTGACAAATTTATTTCATTTTACTGTAGAATATATTTCAAGAATAGATAAATTTAGCTGAATTTTGGTCCCAAACTTGTTATTTTGATCAATTTTGTTTCTAGGTTGTGTTATTCAGCATTGAATATTTTGTTATTTTACTGTGAAGTCAGATCTGTATTTCTAAAATGTGTTTTGTTATAATTTTTCTTTAAATCATGTTATTTTGCTTAATATCTAATGTTATTCTATTTAAAATCTAATGTTATTTTTGTAGGGTTTTAGGTACTATATTGCGGAATTTCACGAATCATTTTCGTTCGCACCTAAACATGATCTACAAGCATAACACATAAAGAATCACATAATTCATACCTTTGACGCATGATTTCCACGATGCGATTGACTATCAATTAGAGAGAGAATAGAGCCCCAAGCATTGCTCCTCTACTTAGTCCACGGGATTCGAATGAGCCGTCCACCAATACTAGATTGGTCGGATGAAGAGGAAACACCACGGTAACCACCTTTTCGGACAACCGGCCACCACGAACCACCACCACCGTGCACACACCATCGGCGCACACTAAGAGGGACAGACGAGAGTGAGAGGGAGTATAAGAGAGGTTGGTTAGTGTTTACTAATTAGGGTTTGATTAAAAGATCACTGAATGTTATGTTCAACCCTAGGCACCTAGTCTATTTATAATAAACATATTATAATTAGACTAGGAAGGAAAGCCCAAACCCCTTATGACTCCTCATATGGCCGGCCACCTAGAGGGAGAAGGCCCATCATGGGTCTCTTCCTCTTATGCTTAATCTAGCCCCTTTGTGTGACCTTAAATTATAGGATCCGTTCAATTGGGCCGTAGGTTATTTTACTAGCCCAAAGATCTAAGTACCTCTAGCTATGATAATACGACGACCCAAAAGAACGAACTTACTTATCTCCATAATTTGATCCATCTATATATCTAGTAATTGCACTTGACAAATACATAAAACCTTCAATTTTGGGTTGATCATGTATTGTTTTAGTCTTTGGAAGTAGATTTGTTTTGGCAGAATTATTTCATGTTTTTCTAAAACACCGTTATTTTGTTTCATAAATGATGATATATTTTGTTTTAAACCTAATGTTATTTTATTTTCATCATGTGTTATTTTAATGAAATCCTAACTTTGTGTTGTTTTGTTATTTTAATTTATCCTTTTGTTATTCTACTTAACCTTTGGGTTAAGTTTATTTTGTTTAATATCGTCTTATGTTATTTTCAGTAGAAGTTTAAGTTATTCAATTATCAAGTTATGTGTTATTTTAGGTTAAACTTTGTGTTACTTCTTACACAAATTGATGTTATTCTATTAAAGTCTATTGTTATTTTGTTTTAAACATGTGATATTCAAGTAAATCATATCTTATGTTATTCTATTTTAAACAAGTGTTGTTTTTAAGTTACAGAAATTGCATTTGGAAGAAAAAATTAATTAAATTCACAGAAATTGAAAGAAAATAGAGGAAACTAAGTATAGCAGGAAGAAAACGGGGAAAATAGGGAAGAGGAAGGGATAATAGAGGGATGCTGACTATGTACCTAATGTCCAGGCAAATAAATGACGTCATTTGACCCTGGAGTATCATGCTCACGATACTCCAATAGTAGGGTAGAAATTGCGGTACACGCCAAACTAGTTTAGCTTTTAGCTAGTTAAAATATTTGGGATGGTATTCTAATTTCTAATTTAACCGATCAACACTTGGAGGAGTGTTATGTGCATTAACACCGATTAAGCAGATCTATTAACTTAACTAATTAACTTATTAATTTTTTGTATTAATGATATGCTAATAATAACCATTGCCCTCCATGCTCGGTGTTACACTTATCAACTCCTCTTAATTGACAACTGGAGCATTACAAAAGTATACACCAAATTAAAGATCACTATGTCGGCGTACCTACCTTTTGGACAAGTGGAACTAACTCTAGTTGTATATATGGCTAGTAATTCTACAATATAATACACTAACTTCATGTTGTTGCTATATCAAAACTTTGTTACATTAACTTCATCAACAACTATACTATACCATCCTTTTTTCATAAATCAAACCAAAAACCTATCAAAATGAATGAAAATCAAGGGAAGGAGGATATACAAGAGGTAGTGAGTGACCAAGAAGTTCAACAACTTATGCAAAACCTTCCTAAGGTAACAATTATGAGTAACAAACTTGAACTAGTAAACTATCAAGGTTTTTGGCATCCCAATATAAAAAACTACCTTAAGAGCACCCTTATGTTTCAACGACACTTTCGAGCTCGAAACACCGATATTATCATAGCTAGCTTCCCTAAAACAGGCACCACTTGGTTAAAATCGTTACTCTTTTCCGTCGTTAATCGTTTTCGTTACCCTAAAGATCAAACCCCTTTGCTCAAACATCATCCGCATGAGCTTGTGTATCGGTTAGAGGTTGATGTTTATGGCAACGCTTTCGAGTATCCTCGGCCTCAACATCTTGATGAGCTTCCTTCGCCGAGGCTTCTCCACACCCACTTGCCTTACACTTCTCTTCCAGAGTCTATTATGGCTTCGGGGTGTCGGGTTTTGTACATTGGTCGGAATCCCTTAGACACGCTCGTTTCGTTGTATTACTTTTCTATAAAAATGATGAAAAAGATGGAAGGTCAAGATTTTCATCTTCGTATGGAGGACTTCTTTGAGGATTTTTATGCCGGGAGGATGCCACATGGGCCCTTTTTTGAGCACGTCGTTGGATACTGGAAGCAGAGTTTAGAGCGGCCTGATAAGGTGTTATTTTTCGAGTACGAGGATTTGAAGGAAGATCCCAAATTATATGTCAAGAGGTTGGCCGAGTTTGTAGGTGTACCATTTTCTTTAAAGGAAGATAGTGAAGGTGTAATAGAAGATATAATAGAGATGTGTAGTATTAATAATCTAAGAGAATTAGATGTTAACAAAAGTGGGGTGATTAACAAGTACTTTGAGAAAAATAGCTATTTTAGGAAGGGGGAAGTTGGGGATTGGACCCATCATTTAACACCCTTAATGGTAGAAAGGATGAATAATCTCATGCACGAAAAACTTGAGGGTACTGGTTTATCATTCAAAATGGTTTCCTTGTAGTCAAGTACAGGCTAGACTTGGCTTGTTGGCCCGCCTGTTGAGAGCTGGATCAAATCTAGCCCACTTTGTTAGCGAAATAGGTCGTATTGGGTCACCTCTTAATGTGTATTAGGTAGGCGGGTTAGATCGAACCTTAACGGGTTAACCTCTTTTTTAACCTTATAGGACTATCCAATAAATTTTTAAATAAAAATGCAGACAAGTTTGCTCAATACTGTTGAGCAAAAAAGGTAGTTTCAAATATCCCTTGTGTTTTATTTTGATGTTCTTGGTGGAATCTTGCATCACTATCCACAATTTGAGAGAGTTGTAAATTATTTACGATTAATGCTTTTTGACTTTATTTAGTTGATACACTTTGATTGACCCAAAGTATTATTTAGTTGACACACTTTGATAATCACAAAATTTTAGGCAAATTTAATTGACTTCTTATGTATTTTTTTGTCGTAGTTAGGTAGTGAAGTAAAATTTTAATATGGTTCGTCCGTTAGTGGGTAATGAGTATTTATTATTTTTATTATATTTTTTTATTTATTATACCATGTATGAAAAAAAGATAAGTTTATCAACAAAATTAAGACTCTATATAAGAAAAGAAGTCAATTAAATAGACATGAAGGGACTATACATACATGTTTAACATTTACCAATGTTAACGAATAAGGATGTACAATGAGAAGCCTAGTCAAACCAAAAAACACACACAAAAGTATACAAGTAACAAAAGACATGCAAAAAGGAAAAGTGCATAATTCTAAGCTAAGTAAGTATCTTAAATATCCATAACTGTCTTTCAAGAGTAGAAAGCACCCAACTCCGTAGACATCATCATGCTCAACACGACATACTCACGGCTCATTTAACGTCAGTCATGAGCCACAACGACGAGTTGCTTCCCAACATTACGCCCAGAGAAGATCCCAATCAAGGCAGAAGGAGCGCTCTCTAGGCCTTCAGCAACATCTTCAGCATATGAAATTTTGCCTTCCCTAATGTATGGTAGGATCATTTCCAAGTAATTAGGGAAAAGATGATAATGATCGAAACCTATTAATCCTTCCATACGAATGCGTTTAGTTATAATATTGGACAAATTGTAAACTCCCTCGGGCTGTTGGAGATTTTACTGTGAGATCAATCCACAGACTGGGATTCGGCCATGAAGTCTCATGTTCAATAGAACTGCGTCAAGCATCTTCCTTCCAACATTCTCGAAATAGATGTCAATGCCTTCCGGAAAATACCTAAACAAAGCAAGATATATCAGCTAGCTAGTATTATGACTGTTCCTTTAGCATTATTGGCAATGGTCATTTAGACGTTCATTTTGCACAAAGTTGAATATTTGGCCTAAGACATTGGACATGTTTGCAGTACGTATACATACTCACCTCCTTAAGGTCGCATCTAAGTCTTCCTCTTCCTTGTAATTAAAGGTTTCATCAAATCCAAATTTGTTTTTCAATAAATCAACCTAACATAGGAAGTTATGAGAGCAAGTTACAACCAGATAAATCCAAAAGCAGAAACAGATTTATAATTGCAAAGTTATATGAACATTAATTTTGTAAATAAACCTGAAAAAAGATAGAGCAACTGAATTCCATTAGCTATCCTTCAAAAATCAAGTGATGTATAATGGTATCAGACTACCATTTAAATCTCTCTGTTTGTCAATAAGAATCCTTGGTGCTAAGATTATATAACATGAAAGGATGTCACGGTAACAAGCAAATTCAGAGTAAGAAAATCACCTTCTCTTTGCTACCAGCACTTCCCACAACATAGCAACCAGTTAATTTTGCGAGTAGTCCAACTAATTGCCCAACAGCACCAGATGCCGCAGAGACAAAGACACGATCTCCCTTCTTAGCAGATCCAATCTCATACAAGCCTGCATAGGCTGTAATGCCAGGCATGCCTACAGATTGATATAGGACAAACATATCAAATGACATAAATTGTTTCATAAGAAAAACACTACATCTGTATGCTCGATTTTAAAGGAAAGTTGTGGTGATGAAACAAGACTATATTCTTCCCATCCAGTAAATCCCCGTACAAGGTCGCCTGCCTTGAAGTTAGGATGCCGAGAATCCAGTACTTTGGACACTCTATATCCGATGATGGGCTGAAAATATTCAGCATCTTAGTTAACAGACCAATATTCATGTCAAACTTACAAATCTCTATCACTACTTTCTCAACCTAGAAAAAGTACCAAAATCTGTTTCTGTAGCCCTGTAGGTATGCTAACATAGTAACATAGTTACAAATTCTTTCCATGTGAAAATGGTTTGGAAAGAACATGCAAGCTAAGCTTATTACTTACCTCCCCTGGTGAAAACTACGGAATATCTCTCTATTTTTATGGCCAAACTTTAAAAACTTTGATCAATGATCACAAATTGTCTTTAATGTTTACAAAAAACAGTCATATTTATGGATACGTCTAAATGTGTAATTTAAAATATATTTTCATAATTTTTGTTTAGGTACAGAAGTTGATGGTCAAAGTCGTGTTTTCAACAAGCAAAATAAATGAACATAGACATTATATTATGGGATGGAGTAACAAATTGTCCCACATCATTTGATTTAATGATTTAACCTTCCAAATGCCTATTTAGCACTTCAATTATAAATCCAAATAGTGCAAATTACCTACCTAACAGCACATGCCACTTATTCCAACAAAATATTCTTGCCAATAAACCAACACTAATTAATACTTTAGCATACAATATAATCAAATTGCATAAACACTCAAATAATAACTAGGAATTTATTTCTACTCTGTCCTATTCCTTGAATTAGAGATTAATACTACATTACCCTACCACAAAACAGTAATTACAGATTTACAGATAAGAAATCAACTCATAAACTCCAAAAACAAATGCCAACAACACTAAACAACAACTAATCAGATAATTAATCAACAATTCTAAACTAATCACAGCAAATATCAAAACATCAATCAATCAAAAATCGAAATGGGTTTAATCAAAATGAATTATACCGATCCAGGTACGAAAGAATCAACATAAGAAGCGCGATCACGGTTGGTCATACGACTTCTCATGTAAGGATCACAAGACAGGTAGAGATTCTTAAGAAGAATCCCACTAGAATCTTCTGGAAGTTTAAGGTTAATCTTTGAAGGTTTGAACTCCATGTCTGATTCTTTGGAACCCAACAACGTAGTCTATTAAGATTACTTGTTTGTTGCTCACTTCTTCTACTTCCGCCATTGTTGCTCTGATTTTTTTCTAGAAGTTTCTGAAAGTGGGTAATAATGAAATAACTTAATTTGGGTTGAAAATGGAGATTGAATTTATAGGAGATAGAAAAGGTGTGAAAGTTGAACGTGGGTGTGTATGATTGTGATTGTGAGGTGTAGTAATACTTTTTCATTGCTGTTGTTGACTGTTCATGGTCACGTTGAAGCTGTGATCATTGAATAATAATGATGTTACTAGCTTAGCCACTTGTCATATACACGGTAATTCTAAATTTTTTAAAAAAAATTAGTTATATTTAACAAATAAAATTTAATAAAATATAGACATCAAATATGTAGAAATGTCATAATCTATATGAGGCAAACAAAAGTTTAATATATAACTCATGTTTTAGATAAAAGTAAAATAAAAACATTTGGCAAATTAAAGCGTTTATTGTTCTTTGTTATTAAATACAAATATGTTAAAAGCTTTCCAATTGTCGTAGTTTGATCATTTTTGTGCCTCTAAAGTTTATTTGTAGATAATAAATATTTATCCAAAAAAAATGTAGAAGGAGATGTCATTTGTCACTATGACCGGCGTGTCTTTTAGTATGCAAATTATTTATGAATGTCGAATGTAATAAATTAAATATATCATCTCAATCAAGTGTGCAAAAGATAATAATTTTTTTTTTTTTTTGTATTTACTAAGATATTGATTTTTTAATTAAGTAATTTACAAAAAAATTAATTGATATTTTACATTTTCCTACAATTAGACATATGATATAGTTGTCGAACACAACAACATTTATTTTATAGTGATTCAATACTCCATAAGTTCTTAATTTGTGATAATAAATGCGTAGTAGTAAATTCTTAGAAGCTAAATTGTCATTAATTTGAATGTAGAGTTAATATTTAAATTGAAATAAAATATTGGAGGTATTTGAAAAAAATAAAATTAATTGATGTTTTAAAGTAATTAATCAATTATATGAATCAATTTTATTATTACTCTTTTTTTTTTTTTTTTTGGCAAAATCTAATAATACTTCATTTAAAAGATAATTATAAAGGAGTTGATATGAAGTTTTAGGTAAATGTTATGGAAGAATTATGAGCACCAAATAAAAAGGAATAAATTTGTCATAAAGATAATATAGTACAAGATTTGGAATAATATATATATAGTTGTATCAAATATTCAAAAAAAAAAAAAAAAAAAAAAAAAAAAAAAAAAGGTTAAAAAGGAAGGGGGAGTTTTGGAGGGAAAAAACAGTACCAGAATGTGACATGTGTCTGTTTTAGTATTAAGTTATTGATTGATTATGTAAATTGTTGATTTTGAGATATGATGGTTTGATGAGAAATAAAATTATTATTTTTTTATTTGTTGTAATAAATATATATGAAACGAGTTGGCTATTATAAAATAGGGAAAATATAAACTTAGGTAACTATTACAAGTATAAAACAAAGGAAATATACTCACTTTGTCAAACTTTGCAAGCATCCCGATGCACTAGTTTGACTTTATTTTTCTAAAATAAATATTAATGAAACTATAAAAAATGTTATATTATGATACTTAGTATAAATACCTATCTAACACCATATTTTATGATAAAATATGTTTTATTATGTTAGTAAAAACTATAGTCAAAGTTAAATATGAGTAGTGAAACAAAGTCCAATGTCTCAGTTATTGTGGGACGGAGGGAGTACAAATGTACAATGCTATACATAGGCCCTATTTGGTGGTAGCGTTTGAGGTAGTGATTAGCGTTTCGACCTGTAAAAACACTACTAGAGAAAAAAATAAGAGGGTTTAGTAAGGTAGCGGTGTGAGTAGCAATTAGCGGTAGAGGTAAATCAGAGGTAGCGTTTAGGTAGCTTTTTCCAAACGTTAAAACTAGTAGCGTTTAAGAGTAAAGGGTAGCGTTTGTTAATTTTTTGTTACTTTTTTTAAATAACAATTTATATTATTATTAATATATTTTAGTAATACAACCGCTACTTTTGCCAAACACCCATACTATCAACTGTTACTTTGACAGCTAATCTCTACCCACTACTAATTGATAGCTAGTCG